ACCGGGTCGGCTCGGCCCAGTCATCTTCACTTCACTCCATCACCATCAAGAAGAAAGAACATTACACTGAGATTCACCCGAAGTCTTGAAACAGGAAGAAATTCAGAAGTAAATTAAATGTGACCCCACAGAACTCGCTTCCACCGTTCGTATGGCCTGTCAAAAATGCTCTACACTTATCCAGACACCAACACGCGCCACCCCAGACGGCCGGAACGTGTTGGCTTCAGCAGTACTCGAACGCGAAATCCCAATTGCGAAGTTCAGATACATAAACTGATTAGTGAACTAAAACAAGAGAACAAAAAGTCCGGTTTTTTTTGCCAGGCTCTTTTTTATCATTTTCTTTTAACCGCAGCTTCCCCACATGATAGACGTTGCAGGTTAGTCATCAGTCAGTCGGCAGTCACAACATTGCCGTTTAACAAAGCATTTACCAGATGGAAATTTCACATATCTGCCATGCCGTGTACTCTAACGCATGCACGCACATTCATCTGTCTTCACCATGCTCGTTCAAACCTCATTCATGTTATCTCCTCTGCTTACGCACACACCCACGTATCACACATATACACATATTTGCTACACATAATTCCTATACCACTTCCTTGCTTCTCACATTTCTCAAGCATCCAGTCAGACATCGTACGCAGATATGCACGCAAGCTTAAATTATACATAGAATAAACAACTCATTTCAAACAATTACAATATAGTATAAACAACATGGCAGCAATCAATGACAGCAAAGCAAAAATTGCACTTGTCCCGCACGCAAAGGCAGCACTTCACAATTGTTTCAGTAGGTCGCAGTGTACGCGCGGTATCCCAAATTCCACAATAGACTCTGCCGCGTCATATTTGACTGCCTCAGCCAGCTACTAAAACTACCGTGTTCTCCTCCCGCTAGAGTACTTTTGGGGCTCGTTGGAGTCTCCGGGTGCGGATTGGGGCGTGTCATCAGTAACAAAACCCAGTGAGACAAAGAAATTCTTTGGCGCAAGAGTCCAAAAGTATAAAGCATGGCAAAAGTTATTTCCAACAACTTAAATTCGTGAGGCGCGAGTCGATCGAAATATCGCCGTAAACCAACGTCCGGCGCTGCAGTCACCCGATGCTTGGCGGGGCTGGCCGCCGCAGGTAATACTATGCCGTGGGCGGCAAGCGACACGAAATACCTCTGCGTATAGAAATGACGTTGCCGAGCGCTCCATAAGCCGTCGTACGAGAATGTCCCGGTCTAAGGTGTAATATGCCGACCAGACATTGCCCGATCGATTGCCATTTGGTGGAAACTTTAGGTGCTTTGGAGTATGAACTCGTACGAGTATGCTAGTTAGTATTCCTTTAGACTTTTACTTCTCTAAGACAACTCACGTCATGCAGACAGCACTTTGCGTAGCATATGACTCAAAATATATTGTCTGGTGTACAACTTAATACACACAGCAAGTTCTGTAACCTATACCACGAACGTAGAGGGGGGAGGGGGCAGGGGGCGGTAGGGTGGCCCCATGCACATCTTGCTCTTTGCCGAGCCTGTGTATTCGATGCACCGGCCCAAACAGCAACCACTCACAGACTGGAAACCCAAAACGCGTGTTGGCAGAGATCGCACGGTAGCAAAAATACCGTCGCAGCTGGGCTCCACATATTGCCGAAGCTCTAGCTCCAGCCGCAGATGTCCTCGGCAGTGCAACGCTGCGTCGCACTCCTGGTGTGAACCAGATAGGCAAGATGGTCAGCTGTGCCTGCACTTTGTCCCGCAGCGCGCAGTCGCTGACGTCTCGCAGTAGAGGTTGCGTGACTGGTCCGTACCAGGGAATCATTTCGGTGTACCTCACGGCCTCGAGGTTTACCGCTGAGATGGCGAAGACCCTGGCCTGAAGAAGACCCTCGGTTTGCTGCTCACGAGCGGCGCGACGATCGGAACCGACTGTCCGCGGACCATGCGGTACTCATCCCACACCATGTCCAGCAGAAGCTGTTCCGGATGGACCCAGTACCCGCTACGCTGGAAGACTATGTGTGCTGCAGCAGGCCGCTGAGCACCGCGATGCTCCGGAACAAGCTGCGTAAGCCAAAGTCGCAGCCGTTTTGCCGGATGGCGGACAATACCGGCACAAAGTGGCTTATCAGGCACTGGACGAGGTCCTTGAGAGCGCTGCTGGAGGTCTCGGTAGAGATGTGAACTGGGAGCAGGTGAGCAGCCGGTGTCAACCATCTGAAAACAAAAGCGAATATATTAGGAACAATTTGCTGCGAGCTGAGCATTAGATCATGCAAAAATTATTCTGCCCCTTAAGTGTATGTAATTATGCCGATGTCCAGAGTCCTTAAATGTGACGAAATACACATAAACAAATATGCTAGTAAGCATGAACCAACCAGCGAATGATGCGACATAACACGGCACAAGGTACGATAATAAGTAAATACTCAACAGTGAGCACACGAAATATCAATTGATACTTGAACTTTAAACACTGATTGCTTTAAATTCAAGGATAATGCGTTTTCACATTCACCTGACAGCGTTCGATGGTCTGATTCGCCGCTGGGCCGCCACATTTCAGACAGAGCCGTTTTGAACGCCGGAGGCCAGAGGGTACAGAAGATGCTGGTTGGTGCTCAGCTGCTCAACCAGGTCGACCGGCAGGTTTGGCACCGGCCTCGACCTAGGCTTGAATGCCACAACGTCCCTCTCCCAGACCTCTCCAGCACAGGTCTTGCCGGTGGGTCCAGAAAAATTTCGATCCCGTGGTAGTGCCATCCAGGCTCAGCAGCAGATGGAGGAGGTTCAGCTCGTTGTCGTGCAGCTAGCGGATGAACCAGTGTATGGGTGACTCGGTGGCCCGCTCAAACAACCGGGACACGTCGCCTATCGTTTCGGTGTTGACGGCCGTGCCATCGCAGCCGAGCACATTGATGCAACCATCGCACTGCGGGTTCACGGAGTGTAGCTCGTTGAACAAGCGCGGGGCGCGGCCGAACTCGGACGTAAAATGAGTCACGCGGCGGCTGCCTGGCTCAGTAATGACAACCACGTATTTTGACGGCATCCGTCTGGCTTTGTGTGGCTCATGCAGCTCCTGCCTTCACGGCTGTCGGAGTAAAGGATGGTCAAACCTGACCCGTGGATAGCTTCACAAATTTAACGAGCCGTCTCCTTTCTCGCTCTGTCTCTTGCTCGGCAGATCTTCCTAGGATCTACGATATTTGATTTCAAGCAGCCAGTCCGTCCCTGCTGTTTTGTTGAAAGGCGTTGATAATAGCAGCTGCGGCCCGGTTCGAGCCACCGTAGCTGTCAACCGCCAGAGTAGTGTTAGTCAGATCGTTAACGTCATAATCTACAGTGGCAGTGGTCTCAACCGGAACGAGCAATCGGTGTCGTCGCCACCTTCCAACAGGTACGGAACCGTGTAAGGATCCGTGCTCTCGGCTGACTCGCCAGCGCTAAGACCACTTGGTCCCGGAGCAGGTTCGGGGTCAGCACTATCAGCCAGCACTAGCTCAGCAGGCGGCGCGGGCTCAGCAGTCGGCGAGGAGGGCGATTCATGTTCAGCAGCAGGCACCGCCTCACTGGCGGCCGAGCCACGATACCCCTGGAGTTGTCTGGCCATCCTTCTCACCTCGCGAGCCTCCCTAGTCACAATCGTATCCCGGTCATATGACCCCAGGGTAAGCTTCCGGTGCCTGCACTGGTCCTTCATCGCGACCTCCTGATACACTGTGTAGGCAACTGGGCATGAAAAGTTGCACTGCAGCTTGCACCTGCATTTCGCGACATCAAGAAGCTCGTTAAATTTCGCGGTGGCGACGCTGCTGTGTCACTCTCTTTCTTTCGTTGATTTTTTGCTGGTTGCTCTGTTGGGATGGTATCAATCCCTCTCGATCGACTTTGTCGCGTATTTTAGATTATGAACAGGGATCGTTTCGTTAGTCCACAGTACCCTGATTTCTACCGTCGCGGTCTTGAAGATGGTATTAGTGAGATTCCTCTTCGATTCGCTCAGCAACCTGATGTAGCTCAGGGCTTTCCCGTAGTCGGCAGTTGGTGGTGGGACAGTGGAGCCGGGTGGCCCATCACAAAATGTTTTCTGCGCGACCGTGTAGCCTTCAGCATGCTTATGCAAGTAATTGGTCGAAAGAAATGTTCCAGTACCGGCAAAACTAAGCTAACAAAGCCATATTTGCCACGCACAAGCACATAAATTGCAAATCAACATCACAATGACGCGCTAGCAATAACAAACTCGAACCTAACTCGGTTTGCTAGAGAATTCTCAAACTGCGCAGCTTTTGGGCTTCATCAAAAATTAATGATCCTTACTAAGAGGTCAGCTTAAAAGCTGACGGCAATGCTTTGCTAAAGGCAATGCTTTGCTGGTGCCCTTCATGATATCTATTTCGCACTCAATCCACCAAGTACCAGTAGTGTGGAAAGTGGCAGCTTTGAGGCGTATTGGATGATGATCCCAGTGCGTAAAATAGGTGGCGATAGTATCAAACACGGTTTTCTTGGCACATCAAATAAAAACTGCCCTCGACCCACGAATATCAACATTGGTGCGGTGCGACAGACCTGAAAGTTTGTCATTAATTCGTGCGCCAAGGAAAAACTTTGTCTCAGCTGATTCCAAGAGATTCACCCCCTCGATGACACACCTTAGTGCGGATGACAGGGCGGACGGGCTGTGAAACGTCGCCAATATGCGGGGATGCGGCTTCTTGGCGCCCGCACCGCTCCTATGGCTGTCAGCTACACAGGCCAATAGAAATCGCGATGGACCATGGCTGTGGCTCCCAGAACATGAGCTGGGAAACGGCAACAAACTCTGGCGACGTCCCGAATGATAACTGGGACTTGTCCCTGAAGCGTGTTTTCTTTTCGCTGATTCCCTGCTCATTATTATTCGATATAATGTGCCCAAACCAAAAGCTAAAAGCCTTCTATGCTTACATGAGGCCAAGCTAACAGATATACATATATGATACAAATGATATCACACTATATTTCGGTGAGTCTGGGATAGGTGCGAGTGGTTAAGACCAACACCAGCGCCTCAAGGGCAACACGCTTTGCTGCATTCTTAACACATCACAAAGAGATGCTTTTCATCAGATGCCATTTCAAGCTAAGAGGGGGCAGAACCCGAGGTGCACAATAACGTATCATTTAACTGCAGGGGTTCGTTGACGGAAGCAGCTCTTCCTTGACATTTGGTATGAAAGCCATCTGTCTAATCAAGTTCGTGACGTCCAATGTTCAATATTGAATCAATATGAACGCAGGCAGCTATTGCCAACTCGGTCGATGCCACCACAAGCCAATGAATTGGCCGTGTTGCGCGTGCACCTTCATTCCCATATTTACAGTCGGCAACAACGCAGTGTAGACCATGGCGTCGCCCTTTCAGGGAAGCATCATAGTCACCACGATCCACAGCGGTACATGCCTCAACAACCACTTTCACGTAGAACCATCCCAAGATTCGACACCGGACTAGCCACTGGCAAGCTCCGATCCCAGATGGCGTTTAAGGCGGCACTCTTCGACCGGCCGGCAGCGGGGCAGCGCTGTTACCACCGCCGCGAAGGTCACGCGCAGCCCGGCACCGCGTTCCAGTCACGAGATCCGCCGGAGGCGGACATAGGAGAACGCCGCCAAGTGAACACGGCGGCATTTGACAGCAGTCGGACCGCCAGCTTGGTCGTGACAGCCGGCGGCAGGCGTCAGCCCGGTCACGTGTCGGCCAGTAGGCGGCGGTACTCGTCCAGCAGCCAGTCGTCGGTGCGCGGCGGCGTGGCGCTCGTCAGGCACTCGTTCAGGTAGACGGGCTGCAGGCAGGGCACGCGCATGCGCGCCAGCTCTCGCCACAGCGCCGGCGTCAGCTGACGCTTGTCGGCGCGCGCCGGCTCGATGAACACGTGCGTGACGGTACCCGGCTGGTCGTGCAGCTGGTCCAGCGGCACGGCGCGGCCGCCGCCGGCCGTGACCAGCCGCTGGAAGGCGCGACACCGCTCCCCGGCGGTCAGCAGCACAGCCACCATGGCGTGGAAGGCGCCCGGGATACCTGCCGAGCGGGCACAGCCGTCACTCGCCGGCGGCACGCCCGTCAGGCGCAGCAACGACACGCGCCCGGCAACAGAGGCAATGTTGTGTCGCCGGGCAGTGCTGCTTCCAAAGGCGTAAATGCCCCAGAGGCATGAGGTAAATTGTTCTGAAGACATGTTTGGCTTTCCGTGAGTTAAACACGCTTATGCGCTTGTAGAAAAAACTTCGGAGACATTTTGAGACATTTTTTCTCCAATTTTTTTCCAGTTACATCTCAAGATGCAGTTTTGCGAGCCGCACCGAATAATTTAAATAACTCCACTTCCCTACAGAATAGCACTTGGCCGTTTGAACCCGTGGACGGCAGATGCCGGGAGTGTCCCACTTACTGGAAGTAGGCGAAGAAACGTAAGCGGTACGGGGGACCAATATCACCTTCATGACGTCGGGTTTGGATCAAGTACAGCGCATAGTCTCACCTTCTTCCTTGATTTTTCGCCTCCACCGGTAAGCAGCAGTGGACAGTTTGTACTCCGTGGAGTCCTTGCTGAGTCCCGATGCTTGAAGACAGTCGGAGTTTCCCCACTCAAATGCATCCTCCTACAAGTGGTGGCAGGCGTGAACACCGGTCGCCACATAAAATGTCATCAATCGTAAAGTACTACGCCACAAAAAACAACAATGAAACGACTAAAAAGAGCGACAAGTGCAACTTTATCGCGGATGTTTGCTAGACACTGCTGGCAACGGGTCGGAACGGGTCACCCCAGTCCGGCGCGGGCAAGGCGTGCGGTGCCTCGCCCACAGCAGGCCCGGACCGGCAGTCCGGCCCGGCCTAGCGCTGCGCGCCACAAACCGGCAGGAACTGGCCGGCGCGTTCGCAGGCGTCCAGGTAGGCGGGCTGCAGGATCCAGCGGCCCGACGCCACCGCCGCCAGGTGCTTCTCGCTGCGGTTCGGCCGGCTGGTGACCAGATGAGTGGTGGCCGGCTCCAGGGTGGCCGTGTCGAGGACGATGCCACCCAGCCGCTCCACCGCCGCCGTGTACCGTGTCCGATCCTGTGGCACACGACACGGTCAGCACGGCGGTCACTGCAATCCGGTCCTGCTTCACACCCAAAGTTCAGTGAGTACCGACGACAGCAGTAAGTCCCTGTAGCACCCAGCTACTTCAGCAGTACGCCCCTGTAGTACCCAGCTACTTCAGCAGTGCGCCCCTGTAGCACCCAGCTACTTCGGCACTACGCCTTGTAGTACCCAGCTACGTCAGCAGAACGCCCCTGTAGCACCCAACTACTTCAGCAGTGTGCCCCTGTAGCACCCAGAGCTACTTCAGCATTGCGCCCCTGTAACACCCAGCTACTTCAGCAATGCATCCCAGTGCCACCCAGCTACTTTAGCAGTGCGCTCCAGCACCACCCAGCTACTTCAGCGGTACGCCCCTGTAGCACCCAGCTACTTCAGCAGTGCACCCCTGTAGCACCCAGCTACTTCAGCAGTGTGCCCCACCCAGTTACTTCAGCAGTGCACTCCTGTAGCACTCAGCTACCTCAGCAGTGCGCCCATGCAGCACCCAGCTACTTCAGCAGTGCGCCCCTGTAGCACCCAGTTACTTCGGCAGTGCGCCCCTGTAGCACCTAGCTACTTCGGCAGTGCGCCCCTATAGCACCCAGCTACTTCAGCAGCACGCCCCTTTAGCACCCAGCTACGTCAGCAGAACATCAGGCCGAAAGTCCCGTCAGGACAACGTGCGCTCCGTGATAATTCTCAGAATACAATAACTGCATCATGAATGCAACACCACACCGGCAGCCGATAAAATTTTCGCCGCAGTGTTACAGCACCCACTCCCGGCCTGTCCGGGTCCGCTGGCGTCGCCCCTGCAGGGCCGGAGGCCACTCTCTCAGGTGACACACCCCGGGATCTCCCGCGGCCGTCAGCCCCGCCGCCGCTCACCGCTGGCTCCATGCCGGAGAACACCATGGTGGGCCGGAGGCCACTCTCTCAGGTGACACACCCCGGGATCTCCCGCGGCCGTCAGCCCCGCCGCCGCTCACCGCTGGCTCCATGCCGGAGAACACCATGGTGGGCCGGAGGCCACTCTCTCAGGTGACACACCCCGGGATCTCCCGTGGCCGTCACCCCGGCCACCGCTCACCGCAGGCTCCATGCCGGAGAACACCATGGTGGGCCGGAGCGGCTTGCGGACGGCGGGCGCCGGCGGCGGCGGCGTGTTCGGCGGTACGTTCTCCTGCCCCTGCTGGCCGACCGTCCTCCGACATCAGGTTGTGCCGGGCCTGCCGCTCCAGCGGATCGTCCCACGTGATGGCCGTGCCCTGCGTGTTCGGGTCGGGCGCGACTGCGGCGAGGGCGGGGACGCGTTACAGGACATCACAGCCACCACGTCAGTCGGCTTCACAGCCCACGCAGTGAGCGGAGACGCGCAGGCACACACAACACGGCGTCCAACGGACCAACACGGCGCCGGAACAGCTTATCCAGGACCTCGTGCATCCAAACTGCATGTACCCAGTTTTGTCAAAATGACCAGCGGTACCTTGCCTCAACAAAATCAACATTTACGCGAAACTTCCACAATTGATGTGCTTCAGGGTATCAGCGGGAAAATACTGCAGTGCAGGGTGTTGTCATAGCCCAGTATTGCGGTCTCTCTGTGAGCCCGACCCTCACTGAGGCGGGGCCCCCCAGCTGGGTGGAGAACGCTACTGACGTGGTGCAGACTCCGACTCGGCCGGGCCGGCAGGCGCCTCCGTCAGACTGGGCATCCTGCGCTCGGCCGAGGCCGCCGCCGAGCCGCCGCTCCGGCGCGACACCAGCCGGTTCAGCTCCGCCAGCTGGCGGCTGACGTCACTAGGATCGGCCGCCGTGACGTCACTGGTGGCCGCCTGCGAGCGGGTGGCACCCAGCTGGGCTCCGGGCGACCCGCCTTCCTCCGGTGAGGCCGCTGGAAGGCGGACAAGGTTACACGCCGGTGAGGTGGTGCGGATTAATCGGTGACGATATGTACAAAACAGGAGCGCTTTTAATAAAACCGCGGAAATATCCTTCCAGTTCCATTGCAAATAGAAGATATGCACTCAAAATCGCTTGTTCCATTCCAAGTGATAACACAAAGTAATGCGCGTGAGTAGGCAGAAAGAATCGTGCCTTATATAACGACGAATACGCGTGCGGTAAACTATACTGATAACTTGTGATATTGGAACTACTTACAGCAACGAATCGATTGCCCTCGATTTCCCAGAGTGCACGAAGGCGTGAATCCTACCCAACACGAGCGTCCTACAAACGTAGCTCTGCCAAACATCCACCTCATGTTTTCACGTTTATCTCGTGTTCGGAGTGGGCTGGATACCTCGGCAAACCCCACAGTCGGACCGTGGAGCGACCGCTCCTCGTGCAGCGACCAGTCACCGCCTCACCGGACTGCGCGCGCGGACTGGCTGCGGCCGGCGAGCCGGGCGGCGGCGCCGCCTGGCGGCTGGGGCCTGCTGGACTCCGGAGGGAGGGGCTGGCGACGGCCGGCGAACCGGGCGGGGGCGCCCCCGGGCGGCTAGGGCCCGCTGGACTCCGGAGGGAGGGGCTGGCGGCGGCCGGCGAACCGGGCGGGGGCGCCCCCGGGCGGCTAGGGCCCGCTGGACTCCGGAGGGAGGGGCTGGCGGCGGCCGGCGAACCGGGCGGGGGCGCCCCCGGGCGGCTGGGGCCCGCTGGACTCCGGAGGGAGGAGCTGGCAGCGGCCGACGGCGAGCGGCCGGCCGCCACTTCCGACCGCAGCTCCGCCTGGCCGACACACGTCGGGTCAGCAGCCGCCACACGTCGGGTCAGCGGCCGCCACACGTCGGGTCAGCGACCGCCACACGTCGGGTCAGCGACCGCCACACGTCGGGTCAGCAGCCGCCACACGTCGGGTCAGCAGCCGCCACACGTCGGGTCAGCGACCGCCACACGTCGGGTCAGCAGCCGCCACACGTCGGGTCAGCGGCCGTCACACGTCGGGTCAGCAGCCGCCACACGTCGGGTCAACAACCGTCACACGTCGGGTCAGCGACCGACGTTAAGACACGTCACAGCAGAAGCCGGCACGGCCGGAGGAGGCGTGCGCTGCGCCGCTGGCTGGTCCACGTACCAAGTCATGGGTCTGATCATTCGAAGCAAAAAGAAAACGTCTGTGGACTGTTGTTCCTTCGAACCCCTTCAAATGCATACATCACAACGGTGGATTCGGTGGATTGTCTTTACTAAGACAGCATGTAGTCAGCGGCGTAAGGAGTTCCCATTCTTGCACGTACACAACACCAGAATGTGATCATGCAGCAAAACATCAAACAAACAAACAAATTTATCGTTTAGGCGCATCAAGCCAAATGAGGGTTTTACACCGGGCAAATGTCATAGCATTGCTTGAATGAGAAAGCTAGTCACTCACATCAACCTGCCTTGGAATTGATATCTAGGCCTGATGGACTGGACGTATTCAAGTCTTCCTTTAGGTTCAGATCAGCTTTCGGGAGTCCTTTGAAGAACTGCACCACCAGTTGAGACATAGGCTGGAAAAGGAGCCGGCAAACCATTCAGACATATTGCAGCGATTGACAGAACTGATACGACACAGTCTGACCTCGACACCATAGCACGCACACAGGTCCCATTCATCGACTAAGGCAACCAACAAACGCGAATCCCGGAGCTAGCGGTAAGCCCATCGACACACGGCGCAGAGCAGCCTCCCCAGCGCGTGGCCTCGCGTGACCCCGGCCACCCGTCGCTGCGGCTCGGTCGGCCCGCAGCACCGTACCGTGCTCACGCGCCGTCGCTTGCCCTCGGGCGTCTCCTCCATGGCGTCCACGTAGCGTTTCCAGGCCTTGCGTGTGTGGCTGGTGGGCTGGGCGCCGCTCACCACGCCGCCGTACGGCGTCTGCGGCGTGGCCATGTCGGCCGGCGTGGCGGCGGCGGCCGGCGTCCCGGCGGCGGTGGCCGGCAGCCGCGGCGCCCGCACCGGCGTCATCTCGGCCGGCGGCTGCATGTAGGCCGGCGCCGCGGCGGCGGGGGCGGCGGCGGTCGAGCTGGAGGCGGCGGCGGTCGAGCCGGCGGCGGCGGCGGTCGAGCCGGACACGACGCTGGCTGCCGCCGCCGAGCCCAGCGTCGTCTCGCCGCCGGCCTCGACGGTGAAGCGCTCGGTGGGCAGGCGGCGGCCGGCCGCGGCGCAGGCGCGCAGCCATTCGCGACTGACGGCCGGCAGGCCCCAGCGGCGCGCCGCCGCGAACTTGTGCCCCTCGGCGGACTGGCACACCAAATGGGTGGAGGCGCGCGCGTGCTTGGTCGGGTTGTCGCGCCGCGCGAACACCTCCTGGAACCTGGCGGCCGGCTCCACGTTAGATCAGTTCTCGAGCAGAGGTGCCACGTTCCGCATACAGGACGCACTCGGGGCCCTGTCAAGTAGCATTAAACATATTCCCCATCACAATAGTAGATACAACAGCGAAAGCTAGTGGAACGAAACTGCAGGCATTGCATCTGCCACATGCCGTTCATCCGCTCGTGCCACGTGCTATGGATGAATGAAAACACGGTGATAAAACATCAGCCTAACACGTCCTCAGGGATGTTGATAAAAACGGGCTTTGGCACCGAAGCCAACCAAAACGTAGTATCATACGAGCACAAACAGGTGGCCGTGTTTTCTCCAGGAAGGTCCAGGACAGTCAGCCACAGGCGCTAGTGAGGCGCGGCGGAGCGGCGGCGCGTGCGGGACGGGCCGGACCGGCGGCACTCACTCGGCTCCCATGCTCTCGCCGAGCAGGGCCAGGTACTGGCGCTCGCGGCCGCTATAGGAGCTGATGCCGAGCACGCAGCCAGACAGAATGTCGTGCCGGAACGTCGGAATCGGCCGGTGATAGTACTCCGGCTCCAGCAGCTGACGGTCGGGCGGCGAGGTTAGCGCGGACACAAACACACGCTCGCTCAACCGACGGTCACAGTGCGGTCCGAGCGCCCACGTGCCAAACAGCGCCGACTATCTAGCAGTCGTTTGGTACGCGAAGCTGACAGCGCGACGGGCACACCGGAAAAGATATCGCGCAGGAGCGAACTGGACAATGAGCCGACAGCGTCCACCGCAGCGGATTTCAGCAGCAGATCGGAGCACACACACGCGACGGTTCCATCTGCGAACTCCAAAACATGTCGCTTGCTCTGCTGGCCGTCTGCCGACCCCTGCCCCTGCGCAGCGGCCGCCTCACCTGGTCCGTCTCGACGCAGTGCTGCAGATAGGCGACGGTAACGAGCCGGTCGACGTCGGCCGCCGGCGCCTCGTGCACCAGCGGCACGACGGTGAAGCGGGCCGCGTCCGGCGCCGCCACCTGCCGGGCGCCGTGCTCCTCCAGCAGGGCGGCCGCCTCCTGCGCCGACTTGGCGTCCAGCTCGCCACTCAGGAACACCGCTAGCCCTGCCGGCGCGCCCGTGTTACGGCACACAGGCGAGGCACAGAGCGGAGGCGCCCCACAGACGCCAGCACATGAGCTCCGCGGATCCGGAACGGCGAGCCGAGCGCGGCCGAACGCACCCGAGACTGTCGGCAGCAGCGGCATAACGAGCTAGTCGCATCCCTGCACGGGCACACATACGCAGCCCACGCGCCGCGTCCACACCGCCCATCTGACCTCCCTTCCCAGCCCCCTCGGCGGCAAGGTGATCCGGCCGCCGGTGCGCACCTCCGAACAGCGTCTGCGTGGCCTCGAGCGTGGTGTCGTCGCCGCGGCCGACCGTCCCGTCAGCGGCCAGCATCGTCTCCTGCTGCGGCTGGGCCGGCTCGGGCGGCGGCCGGCCCGGCGCCGCCAGGTGCTCGGCCTCGGGCAGTGGCCGGCCGGCGCTGCAGCTGTCCAGCAGCCAGCGCAGCGTCACTAGGTGCGGCCGCCAGGCGGCAGACAGCGCCGACTCCGGCACCGCGCCGCCCGACACCACCACGTGCGTGACCGATGGCAGCAGCTGAGAGAAGCGCATGGCGCCAGAGGTGTTGAGCATGCGGCGCAGCTTGTCCTCGCGGCGCGCGTCGAACCCCATCAGGTGGATCTGGAGCGGGACCGGCGGTCAGACGGCACGCGGGCGGAGGGGTTGAGAGGCGGCGGCGCGCCACACGCCGCGCACAGCTCCACCTCGCTAGACACAGACAAGATTTCAGCATTAATTGATAGGTGAGCATCGTGCCATCCGCCAACTAAAACAGCATTCATGTGGTGTTTAGATAAGACATTGCTCTGAAGCAAACTCACTTATAGGCATTTGGTGACCAAACGCTTGACATAGATAAGACACTAGTAATAGCTTTATTCCTCGGAGAAAAACCAGGAGAATAGAGATATAGTTGGGCATACAGGGCTCATCATGGCCGATTATGCGAGCGTGATATGTGTCTATGTGTGATGTGTGTTAACTTAAAATCGTTTACATGTGTAAGTGATGCCTGAAGCGTGATGTGCGATGCCTGTTCAATTGAAATCGCTTGCACGTATAATTAATGCGCGATGTGTGATGCCTGTTTACTTCAAGTCGCTTGCATGTTTGAATGACGCGTGATGCGTGATGCCTATTTGTTGAATTCGTTTGCATGTACACGTATGTTCGCGCATTCTAACTCTTAGATAGGTACTATATCGTGGTAATGGCTGGCAATCGCCATTTGTTTAATCCCTGAATGTTGGTGACCTCTAAAAACTGTGGCTAGCTGTTTAAAAAAAACTGAAAAATCGAGTAGAATCATCGGCAGGCAATTTTGAGTTCACTTCTTCTCTTGTTTCGATAATAACGTGTTGCCAAAATATATTTTTTCGGCCCAACTATATCCCCACTTTCCTGTTTTTTTTCCTCTCCGAGGAACAAGGCTTTTACTACCGTTTTATCTATGTGAATAATGCTCCTCGCTAATGCACCGCACAACAAACGCCTGGCATGGTTGTAAACACAACAAACCCATCGCAGTACATAGCAAACCGTAGATCTGCGGCCAGCGAGACGAGAACATTTTCAGTAGCACATATCTGCAGTGACGAGCTATTCCGATCTCCACAGGCATTGTGGAATCCCGGCAGAACTCGCACCTTGCAGCCGTCTAGGAACTGGCCGGCCTTCAGCACCTCTTGCAGGTCGATACGGTCCAGCTTCGCTAAATCCTCGTCTGTGGGAACCACAGCCAAATCACCGTTTGCTGAAACCGCAGATACCATGCAAGACCGAGACAATAACTGACGTCATATCCAAGCCTGATGACTCAGCGTAAAGTCGTCCCGGAATTGAAATAGTGCACGGTGTTCTCCTCATCCCGACAGCCGGACTTGCCGCCACCCTAGTAGTGAAGTTTAACTACTGTGTCATCTCTTACACTTGGCCTTGGGGGAGGGGAGGGGACGTGAGGGTGGCATCACTTATATAAGTGCACACAATTTCACGCTACAGCTTTTTGACGCCTAAATAGTTACATGGCATGGGAAACAAGTCCCGTTTCAACGACGGGTGGTACACATCGTGAATTTGGATAACGTTTATCCATTAATTTCTCCAGAGTGCCAACGTTTTGAACTTCCATCAGCCGGTCATACTGCACTCACGCAAAAGCAAAAACATTACACAAAGGTGCTTCCCGAGTACAATATATCCTGTCTCATTACCAAGGCACCGTTACACTGGCGGAGTGGCGCACAGTGGCATAAGTTTCAGACGACGACGGACCCCACACGGGCCTCTGCTGGCGAGAGGTATACTCACCGACAGCGAACGCCGACAGACCCGACACGAGCCCCGTGCTGGCGGGAGGTATACTCACCGACAGTGGCCGCCGACAGACCGGACACAAGCCCCTGCTGACGGGAGGCATACTCACCGACAGCGGCCGCCGACAGACCCGACACGAGCCCCTGCTGGCGGGAGGTATACTCACCGACGGCGGCAGACGGCGGGACGACAGACCCGACACGAGCCCTCTGCTGATGAGAGGCGTACTCACCGACGGCGACCGCCGGCGGGACGGTGAACGCGGCCGTCTCGTTCATGGTCGTCTCGTTGACGGGGCGGACGCGGCTCTCGTTTGCGCCCATAATGGTGCTCACCGTCAGGTCAGCCAGTTCACCTGGAGCACAGGCCAGGTCAGATGCAGCCCTCCATGCATGCTATCCCCCCCCCCCCCCCCCGTCGGCCAGTTCCTTACAGCACCACGCAAGTCACACACACACACACCTGTAGACAATGAAGAAACGTGTTTGAAGCAGCTCTGAGGTCTAGCTCATTTGCGTAACCATCTGCTGTTTCAATCAGCTCACTGCTTACTGGAAATACTACGATGAACTCAATGACAGCGTGTACTGCTGAAAGTGCAGACAAGTGCATGCTTTGTACACACAATCACGTTATATGGGGAAGACAAATACAGACATCATAGTAACCCCAGTGTTACCATAGGCCATGGTGTGGTTTTTCGTCGGAGTTGAGGACAGCTTCGCCTTGACCGCGGTGGTGTACTCCTCCATACCGAGGCACCAGCCGCGTTCCACACTGTCGTACAGCCACTCCGGCACCACGCAGGGTATCTGGGGCCCAAGGGTAGTGTATAACACAACATCCTACAGATGGCCACAGATGACCACTCCAGAACCACACATGGTATCCGAGGCCCTACGGTAGTGTATAATCCACGACCAGACAACAGGTGGCCGCTCCAGCACCACACACGGTATCTGAGGGGAGCAGCACACCACACACATCACTACCAGGCAGCCCCCACAGCAGCATACACAGCAATGTTTTCAGTTGGCAGAGCAAATGACTATAGTCTTAGTCTCACTCATGCATATGCCACTACCTTGTATCCCTTAGTCCCAACCTCTTTACACTAAGGTCATCACTGAAGTTCTGTCCACATACAGAGCAAACATTGTGGAATGGTGCTTCCGACCATAACATCGATAGGTAAGGACTTACCTGCCACCGACGGGCGAAAGTGACCTTCTCGCCGTCCATAGAGGGCGACACGAGCACGCTCGTCTTCTCGCACTCCAGCTGAGTCATGTAGCTCCCGCCTGCAGGGAACAGTGATGCCTTTAGATCAGTCGCTGAGCCGGCGTACTGCTGATGGCACCCCGGTATCACAGTGACTGCACAGACAGACGTCGAACACCCCCGGACATGTGGTCATTGTGTTCGCATCCTACCGACAGACGGTCGCATCACAGCAGCGGTCCCTTGAGTCTGGAGCGGCTCGCACCGTTGTTCTCGATGATCTTCCTGATGGCCTCCTTGTCCTTCCTGCTGAGCTGGCTGACGCAGATGAAGAGGCCTTGGAAGGGCGGGCACGTGAGGTCGGCGAACTGCGGGTCGGTGGCCTGCACGGTCTGTCGGCAGCTGGCCTCCCAGACCCGGTCCACCCAGGCTGCGCGCATCACCGGCACCTCACGCGTTACCGCCACCTGCCGGACCATCGCACAAACACACGTTTCGACGATCGTCGCCGGATGAGATTGGCAGCAGCAGTGCTGTTCAGTGCTCAGTGTCCAATTACAGAACCTATGCGAGGGTTCACGAACGCAAAATGCCCACGAAAGACTATCATTACATTTCGCTTGGCATTGACCCGTAAAAGGGAGTGCCATAACCCTGAGTGCGAACCAGTCCATAGCATTCACCGATCGCGGCACATTTAACCTCGCTGCCTACGATGGTCCGGGCTGCGGGCCGTTCTGAGACCGAACGCGACCATGCGCAGCTCCGCCCGGCCGGCCGGCCCGGCACGGCGCACCTGGTACTTGGGGCTGGCGACGACACCGGCTACCAGGTGCGTGACGCCCTCGTGGAAGTCGCTCGAGTACACGCCCGACATCAGCTTGACCAGCCGCTGCAGCCGGGTCTGACAACAGACGGAGCACGTGAGCGCCGGCACACGCGCCGACTGGCCGCCCACCAGCTGACGGGCCGGGGGACCGCTACCGCGGAGAGCACTCTGCATCGCCTAAGTGACACGATTCTTTCCGCTGGCACTGCGGGGAGGACGTGGGGTCCGCCTCGAGCTGACTCACCTTTTCCAGCTTCTGGAAGCCGGTGGAGGTGATGACCATGCCCCGCATGGCGGCGGCGTACAGCGGGTAGGGCAGCTCGGGTACCGGCTCACTGCGGCTGAGGCAGGCCAGCAGGCAGGGCGGCCCCAGCACTCTGCTGAACACCGACCACAAACGTGTCACCGGCTGACAGGAGCAGATGGAGAGCACCCAGCTGAACACTAACCACTACCCGCTGACGTGCTGAATGGACGCACCTTTAGTGTGATCTTAAGATTTTTAGAGCAGCTGTTGCAACCGGACACATGCTTTACCAGTCGGCGACTGATAGCGAGCGCCTAAAGCAAATCAAACCTACCCCGCCAGAGCCGGACAAATAGGAAGGCCCTCATCAAGTGGGCCATTGAGACGGACTAATTCATGATCAAAACATAACGAAACATCGTTGAAATATGCAGTTTTCCAATGTGCACAAATAACTTACACACACTTAAATTTGCCTGAAGACAAATATTCAAATGCCACGCCTTCAAATGGGTCGCAGATGAATACGTCTTGCTTGACAGGATGCTTCTGAAGAACATCTTCCTCCTTAATCCAGTTGCATGGGAATCCAATGTCCAAACAGGCCTGTGGGTTCAAGAACCAGCAGCTATAGTCAGATGGACTCCTAACAGCCAAGCTGATATGGTAAAGAATAAGGCACGATCTTAAATATCTGAAAATAGTGAATGACGGGATTTTCATGGTTTAACCCGGCATTGACAGGGCTCCTCACCGGCACATCACTGACAGGAGGGGCAGATTCCCCCCCCCCCCCATGCTTCCGAATTCAAAAATTCAGATAGCAATCGATAGCGCCGTGGCGTGCGGTCTCAGACTACACATCAAACTTAAGTTCACGTGTGTATCAAAGTCTAAGGTCAAGGTCAAATTCTAAAAACAGCTTATTTGGAATAAATGACCTCTCCCACCACACATTTCATTTAGAAGTGTAGCTTAACGTGTGCAATCATTGCACCCTGATCAAACATGCCACATAGGAAGGTCTCCATTGTCACGTGCACCATACCGGACCTCGAGCCAAGGTCCTGTGCAGTGCAAATAAGAGCCGAGACCTTTGTCTGCATATCTATTTTCATCTATTTGTTCCCGTCATATCTAAACCATCTGAAGGCGAGGTGGAAAAGCTTAGCCGGAATTATGGGTATGCAACACGTGAGCAAGGGCTGATATTCGTTCATAAAACGTCTAAGGTCAAGGTTAAATGGACGACCTCGGTGGTGAATAGGCGGTTGAATCGGTTTTTGAGTTGTTTTTGACAGCTCAGTGCTGCAAACGGCGCAATCTGATATCCGTCAGCCCGGCTGCCAGTCACACAGTAGCCGGTTTGCGTGTGCACCTGATAAATGGCTTGCGCCGTACCATCACCGAGTCACCGCTGCTGATCTGACTCCCAACGCCAGCTAGGGTGGGCTAGGGCAACATATGATACACATCATTGTCTGAAACTTGGCACAGACATCCTTCATAGTCATATCTAGGACACATTTTCCGTTTTCATCATTCTTGACGAGACCAAAAAATGTTTATGGTACTTTCATCAACATTTTTCTGATTTGGGTGCCAATATTTCAAAGCGCAAAACTGTAACAACACAATGACAAGGCATGTGCATTCCATGTGCTAATTGGCTTCCATTTCCCATCGACAAATGTAAGATATGTTCTTTCATTCAACTTTTGTGTTGATTTGCCCACAACTTTGCTCTTTTATTAAAAATGGCCAACATGACACCACTCTGATGTCACTCACTCTTGACCTAATATGACCTTATAGTTCTTTATTTCAGCAGAAGACATAGACCTCATTAACTGACAGCCACTGATAATTTTGCAGCGATATCTCAAGGCACTTTTGGAATCATGATGACTATTGGACAGGGGGGGGAGCAGATTTGACCCCTGGTCAATGCTGGGTCAAGGCAGATACAACTCACAATTGCACTGTGGAGCATATTGACATGTGTCCATGCTGATCCAGCGCACACCAAAATAAATCTGCCAAACATGCTATTTTAATTATTTATTCAGAAAAAAACACTGAGAAAGTGTCATGGCTTACCATAAAAGGACACATCATTGAAATATTTTCCAAGCACTGATCACATCATCAGCAACATGTATTTGCAACCTGCTTTGCATCAAAGACAAATATATGTTCAAGGCCAACCAAGCATGTGCAAATAAATGGATGATGTAAACAGACCTCCATGAAAGTTTTGAACCACAATCTCTGTCTTATGGTTCAGTACATTTAATCACATTGATACATGCATCAAATCCCATAATTGCACACATCCAATAAAACATATCTTGTTATGTAAATAACAGTTCTAACTCTCAACATAGAAAAATATCACTGCATGCAATCAACTGTACCTGATAACATGATCCTAACTTTTCACTGCATGTTGTTTCTGAAGTGTTTTTTGGTAACACAAAGTAAAGATTTACTTGATCTTGAGAATCCTGAGAGAGGAGGGACTCCATTTCTGAAAACAAGGAAATTAAACAAATGCAAGATCATTCCTGCAAGCCAAACAACCAGAGCAGCTACCCTTATGTGGTGCTGACACAATGACAGGATAGTGATGGTACCCTGATGGTATGATGGTGCTGTGCTGGAAGACATCAGTAAACATCATGAAGAGCATGTGGGACAAAGAGATACATCAACATGGGCTACCATGCAAACATCTCAATACTCAAAATACTTGAAACAGGTACTGCACTTCAACACATGAAACCAGGTCCATATATTCATGGCCTAGTATGCAAACAGCATAACCAAGGCAGATTCCAGCAGAAAAATGTGGTGGTAGCAATATGACCTCACATGCTGTTTTATGATGCATAGTAAAAAATGTGGGCCCCTGCCCAGATTACAAAAAAATATTATGTTGGCCATGTCTGAGTCTGAAAAACATGCCAGAGTATGGTGTAGCAATGATATCACAGAAGCAATTAAGAGCATATATGCCGCAAGTCTGAGTGCTCATTGTTTAGCACAATGTCACCACAGATTTAAATGTGTGGAGAACCAAAACTTGAAGGCATCACAAGACTTGTCAGGCAATTTCAGTCACACATACTCTGAAAATAGATTTTACATAAAATATTTTTCTGTGCAAACAGTCTTGCCCAGCCTGATATTGGCACCTTCAAGCAAGAGATTAAGCACACTGAATGACCAACGTTGTATGGGCATACAGGGCAGTGGATGTTTTAGCAGAATGGGTCTCTGCCTGTCAACCTCAGGTAATAATGATTGGGGCTTTATGCCTCACTGACTGTCAGGGCTACATCAAGACAGATGCCTTTATTAGGAATCCTGTGGGATGCTGCAGTGGCATGGCAGGGGCCAGCACCCAAGACCAACAGGTTCACAACCAGGCACCCTAACTACTATACCACCACTGCCTCCCAACCTCTCATGAACAGCAAGCCTTAAAACACATCACAGTAGCTGCTATGCATGGACTGCAAAACAGTCCGGCCACATAAGCACGGTTTTGGCGGTTTTGGCACCATCTAGATTAACACGGTTAGGATGAGTTTGTTTACAGTTCTTCACGCACTTTATCGCTCCGTTATTCCACGCTGCGCGGGGTGTTCTGTTAGCAGTTGAGGCAACGTGGTAAATAACAAGGACCAACCCATCCAAAACATCATAGGGATCACGGACGAGACGCCGCTTCGAAATGTTACGGGGATACCGTCTGCCGAGAACAGGAGCTGACATACTTTCCCGGCGTACACGTTAATGAAAACTGGCAGTACGAGTAAATAAGACACGAACGCTTAGTCATTTTTTGAAAATATTGTGTGTAATCAGGATATCAAAAAATTTAATTTAATTTATAATGAAACTTCTTTCATTATGCAAAATTAAATAATTTGTTGTGAAATGTTCTCAAGAACTCTGATTAGTGTGTGTACCGCGAGGTGCAGTCCCTAGACATACCGAGCTGCATACGCACATCTCGCTGAAATTTACCGCCCAATACAAGAACTTTGACGCATGAGAGACGATTGAGTGTTGTTTTGTTGTGATTGATGTCACGTTGCAAGAATGCAGGTGAAATTGTTTTGCTTATTGCCGTCTGCAGAGGTTCGTGCAATTGAGCCCTGAAGCCACAATTGGAACATCAGACGTCTTTAGGTCGGAGTGGTAGGCGTGTCCCTACCTAATATTTGAGCGGGTAAGTGGAAAGGTCCTCTCTGTGGGAAAGTACCTATCCACCCAGATCAGCCCGCGGAGTCTGACCACACAAGATGGGTCGACTGGGGAAGACCATGGGCATGGTCACTATGTCCTGCGGTTGTTGGAATCTGGACTCCGGACCCCAGTAGCTTCGGGCATGTGAGCTTATTAGTGTTTCCATATAGAATGAGTCCAAAAAAGGACACTGAGTAACATTTGAGGCACGGTTACATCTGAAGATAAGGTTATTTTATTTCCACAGTGCCTTAAAATCCCACTGGTCTAGCCCATGCTCAATCTGTGACCATGCCATTTTTTCACTTATTGCTGTTGTAAGTCTTCTAAAGATAGACTGTGGAATGAACACCACAATAGCACCACAACAACTCATTAGTTGAAATTCAAAATTAAGGATGAAACTAAGAAACTTCTGCTCAGATGTGCGATATTGTATGGATAAGGTTACTTTGCTGTTGATATACCAATCACCACCTTTGCTTGCAGATGTTTGTCAAAGAGAGCCATGTCTGGGATACCAGTCAAATCCTTCTATGGCTCAAACCACCACCAGTTGGAGGTAGTGGCAGCACAACTGGAGCAGCACATCGCTCGCTTCAGCCGGACGCCGACCTGCGCTCGGCCGCGCCCCACTCTCCTCGGTCCGGCCGCCGCCTGGCATGTGTTCACGCGCCAGGCGGACGCGCTGCGCACGGCCGCCGCCAGCCCGGGCCTGCAGCTGATGGTGTTCGGCTGTGAGGAGCGCGCGCCCGGCGGCGGCGGCCGGCGCGTCTATCTCGTCTGCCACCCCAACGTCTTCTGGCGGTGTGATGTGCAGAAGCAGCCCGAGCACCGCTGCACGTACGAGGTGATCCGGCAGGGCGTACCTTGTAAGCTCTATCTGGACCTGGAGTTCGACAGGACATTGAACGCTGACCGGGATGGCGATGCTATGGTGGACCTGTTCATCAAGATGATCGCGGCAGCAGTAGACCATCTGTTCCAGATCAAGTGCACGAGACGCGATGTGGTCGACCTGTGCGCCTCGTCGAATAAGAAGTTCAGCAGGCATCTCATATTTAATAGCAAGGGTTTAGTGTTTAAAGATAATAACCATGTTGGAAATCTAGTCAAGGACATCTGTGGCGCGGTGAAGGCCTGTCTGTTGCATAACAGAACGGAAGACTTAACGCGTTTGGGATTGCAGGAATTTAGTAAAGATGAACTGAACACTCTTAGGGTGACATCCAGCTCTGAGCACAGTCTTTTCTGCGACGAATGTGTGTACACAAAAAACAGGAACTTCCGAGTGTACAAGTCATCAAAATTCGGCAAAAGGCGGCCGCTTGTAAAATCCGTGCACAACCAATACACCCCACATCAGTCCAGCAAAGTCCCTCGCGACCCTCGCAACAACTCCTCGGACGAGGCGTTCTTTCTCGAATCGCTGGTGTCCTACATCGAAGGCGACCCCGAGCCGCTGGTCCACCATAGGCGGAGCGACGCCGCCGCCCCGACGCGGCCCCTCCCCGCCGGCCCACCCGGCGACAGTGTGGACGGCGGCGGCGGCTCGTGCTCGCCCTACCCGGAGATCGACCGGTTCGTGCGCGGCCTCGTTGCGCCGGGCGGCGTGCGGCGCTGGACCTACTTCGCCGACTCGGAGCGCGTCGTGTACGACATCGTCGGCTATCGCTTCTGCCAGAACGTCGGCCGCTGGCACCGCAGCAACAACATCATCGTGGTCGTGAACGTGCGGGAGGCAAGCTTCTACCAGAAGTGCCACGACCCAGCGTGCCAAGGCTTCCGGTCGGACGAGCGGGCTCTGCCGGGCCGTCTGCTGCCCTGGCGTCGCCTGGACGAGTGGGACGGCGACGAGGCCGGCGCGTTCCCCGACTGCGGCGCCACCGACTCGGAGATGGCGTCGGCCGCCTCGCTGGCCGAGCCGGCGCCGGCCGGGAGGCACGCGACGACCGCCCCTGGTGCTGTGTTCCCCGACTGTGGTGTTCAGGACTGGGAGCTGCAGGAGGCAGGCGAGTTGCCAGAGCCGGTCACCGCCCCAGCTGCAGAACCGAACACCGGCTCCGACAGGAACATCTCCAGTGACTGGGATGATCTGCCCGACGTTTGGGACGAGGACCCCGACGTCCGGGAGGACGTCTCCGGTGTTTGGGACGATCTCGACCTCTCTGAAGTCCGGGAGGACCTCCCTGACGCCCGTGACCATCTCACTGAGGCTCAGGGTACCCTCGCAAACCTAGGGACCGATGTCCCAGATGACCAAAGCTACCTCCCCGACGTCTGGGACGATATCCCTGATGGAGATCTGTCCGAGTGCTGTACATAAGCCGCTGCTATTGCGTGCTGCTGCTTACGCGTGATGAAAATGAACAACGGCACGTGGCCTACTCCATTGGATGGCATTTTCGTTATAACTTACTACCCGTTCTTTCACGATTAGACCTCACGGAACGCCGCATGCTCGCCCGATTATCTGGTTGTCCATAGACTACTGGCACCGATATGGCCTGCAGTATCTGTATGTATATATCGAGTTTGCAAGGACGGACAGCGTCATGTGCATTGTTTCCTTGCTTCTGCCTTCAACTGGCATTGTGATACTGTCAGCGTGTCTGTTTTACTCCGTCAGTGGTGTATCGTAAATTTCCCTGTCGTCTCCCAGTACGCAGTCATATATTGGAACCATATTGTGATGGAGCGCCTACATTATTGCAAAATATTACTTAGTGCCTACTTTGGCCTTAGGGACTCCGTTATATTGTTTGATAATAACAAACGTTCCGTGTCACCGGCAGCTGGAAATGTATATTTGCATACAGACTTAACGGCACCGAATCTATCAGAATAGTCGCAATACGCATATTTGCGCTATAAAGCAGCGCAAAACGTATAACGCCAGTAGTAACTCCACACGCCCGGGATAACGCACTCGCCTTCCTTCAGCCTACGGAAAATTTAACTTACGACCCCGTCTCACGACCTCCTACGCATATGTAATGATAAATGTACACCGTTCTCCAGGAAATATGAGCGGCGTGAGGTGACGCCATGACATGATCACTACCTAGTTCACGGATCGCGCTCCATAATCTTATGGCTACAGTGGTGCCGCCGCCGACACGCACTCTGTCCACCGCACTTGCTGCCTCACGCCGACCTCCGTCCCGCCGCCTGACGTCGCTTCAGGCGCTCCCCGCAGCTGCACTGCTGCCGGCGCGCTCCCCATACTAGGTCGGCACCCACTCGTCTGAAAGAAGAGCGCCTTTCGGAAGCCCCCAGCGATTTTTCCTGGCGCTGTGACGGCGGTGCTCGTGGTTGCCACGATCGCCGGCTCGGGCGATCACTGGAAACCCAGCTGATTCCGGTGGTTCTCCACCTCCGGCAGCGCGCGGAAGGCGAACGCGCACTGCACCTTGCAGACGTGGTCGTTGAGGATGTCCTCGGGCGAGTAGCTGTTCGCCAGGTGGAAGCAGTTGTCGATCTTCAGCGACTGGCACACCGGCTGGAAGCAGTTAGGAAAGTCAGCACTCGTTCCAGTTAACACGATTTTGCCATGTCACCCTTCGGATGAACACGCGCGCGCACACAAACACAACAGCAATAGTGAACAGGACCTCAAGGCCGAACTGGTGTTGGCCTAGTTCAGACCAAAACGCTTCACGCATTGGTAATACATACATTGGCACTTGGACGTGCTCAAATTCGCCCAGCTTGACGGCAGTTGTGGCGATACTTACTCCCTCTTTAGTGCAGGTGCACATGACGCAGGGCGAGACGCGCTCGGCCGAGCCGATGTCGATCGTCAAGCTTCCCACAGAGCAGCTGACGCGCTCCTTCCACAGGTCCAGGTCGATGCTCTTCATGCTATCGCAGTTCACGCGAGGGTTCCTGGAACAGTGTGCTCGTGTCACAGCTGGCAAATATTTGTCAAGCCTATATTACATGTGTGCGTGACGTTTGAACTCGGGATTAGCCTCATAGACCCTCCCCCCCCCCCCCGCATTCGTGAGCATGCAAGCACTCGATTCCAGCAATCGCACGAACTTTCACCCGGCGGAAACTTCACCAGATGCCACAGGGCCGGTCGGCCTCCACAGCGGGCATGCACTTACAGGAACGGGTCCGGCAGGTCGAACAGCGACCTCTGCACGACGTCCACCTGGTCGCAGTTGTCGCAGACCATCTTGGAGAGGGTTGACTTCCTGATCTCCGCCAGCTGCGCCTCGGTGAACCGCACCAGAGGGTCTTCGTTCTCGTACCTGCCGAGGACGCGGTGGCGTATGTCCTGTGCCAAACGCTGAACACAATACCGGATCTCTGACATGGCTGGGGGAGAACTGCACGCTGTTTTTTTTTTATTCCACAGTTTATTTCATAGCGAGCTCAGTCATTGCTCATGATCTTGTTGACGGAAAGTCGTATTGGTTGGGCTTGGAGGTTCTGTCGATGTTTGACCAAAGCTTCCAAGCGAGTGATCGCGTGGCCCAACAGTTTTTGCTTTCTGAACTGTACTGGTTCGGACGCCTGCCAGTCTCCTGTAGAGACCATCACAGGCGGCTGCCAGCCGGCACCGGGGCGACCCCGCCGCCCTCGGGTCAGCAGCGGCGAGCACCGCTCCTGGGTCGCCGGGCGGCAGCGCCCGGACAGCGGCTCACCAGAAGCGGTCGCAGCGCTTCAGGGCCCTGAACTGGATGCCGATGATGCAGCCGAAGGTGGGTCCGACCAGGCCGCCGTGGAGCGGCGTCTCGGCCAGACCGCCGGTGAAAAGATCTGCGCGGAGGCGGGTGGCGGGTCAGCTCAGGCGCGCGCGGGCGGCAGCCCCACCCCTCCTGTGCCCCCCGTCCGAGGGCGACACGGGCGATGTTTCACAGGGCTTGTGAAAAGACTAGACGAAAGACTTGTCCAGTCATTATGAATTGCTCGGAACCGGCACGCGGCAACCCGACGATCCGAAAATCCTCGGTTGCATGTTCGCTGGCACGGTTACTCACGGTCACCCAACACGGTAACACGCACGCAACTCGGCGACGATCCCCACTGCAGGTCAGACTGAGAAGGTACCTACCGATGTCGTCGACTTGCGAGTAGGTGCGCCGCAGCCTCTCCAGGATGGGCGGCGATATCTCGCGGGTCAGGTCGCTGAAGGACCTGGCGTGGGTCAGGTTGCAGAGCGAGCGGTACTGGTTGTACGGCGCCAGGCCGTGGTCTCGCCCTGTGACAGCAGAAGCCGCGTTAGCACTCGCCCGCAGAGGTCCAAGCACGACCAGTGCAGTTGCAGCTGGAGAACGGAAATGCTCATAGATTATGGAACCAGTCAAAAGCGAATCATCATATCGGGGTGACGAGGCTACGTTGCTTATCACTCTGGCACATTTGAGGGTGAATTTTAAGACCGAGTAGGCACGTCTTTTTTGAGACAGGTAAGCCGGGGTCTCGCTTCGTATTCAACCGGATGGGCTCCAGCTCCCTGCCCCTCTTCCCCCTTCGCTGCCAGCCCTCCTCCTAGTTTCCAAAGGAAAAAAAATTAATCCGTGGGTAAAGTGGACGGCGTGAAAATAACGCTTAACTTTTGTCATTTTCTCTTGATTTGTTTCGCCTGGCTTAGCCTCCCCTACTGATTTCGTAAAACTACGTCCCCATAAGTCAGCATGTGCTCTTTCGTATGACTTGAGGACATCAACGCAGAAAAAGCGAAAATCCCAGCACGGCATTTCTCGCCTTAAGTGACGTTGACACGTCATCGTTTGCTTCTCGTACACAGCATTGTTATCCGAGTCTGACCCGCTGCATTTTGTCATCGGCGGCAGGTCACATCTCACCTCTCTGCAGGTTGAGTGCGACCAGGTCGAGGCCGGAGAAGGGCACATGTTTGTCCTCAAACAGATGGTTGGTGACCTCCTCGGTGATGAACTGGTCAAGCGTCTCCATGGAGGTGGTGGCCAGTCCGCGGATGACTTGGTCAATCATGCCCGGCTCGTACAGCGGGTCCGGGTTGAAGAACGTGTCCTTCAGCTGCGGAGCCATTCCGAACAGGCTTTATTTACGGACATTAGGGCACATTACATACGGGCATTAGGGTTATTTATAGCATGACTCGTTGGCCACGTCCCAACTATACGCCGACATCCCATGCAATGGATCACGGGCACGCGTGGAGGTCGTCGCGGCAGACGGGCCGCCCCGCCTGCACCGCCAGCAATAATGGGCCATCCCTGCTGGTAAGGTGTGTAGCTTTCTAGTTCAGTTGGGGTGGGGGATAAAGCCCCCCCCCCCCAACTTGGGCTCCAGATGCCAGGCTATGAGAAGAACTTGGACCAAATTCAGGGAGAACCGGCTTGTTGGTGTATTTTGGAGATAAGTTGATAAGTTGAGTAATTTGTCACTTTTCACTTTACTAGTTTATTACCTCCCCCCCCCCCCCACAACACATTTAACGATGCTGCGCCCCTGCCTATGCTGATCACTGACGGCCCTCACCTTGATGTCGGGCCCCTTGTGCTGGTACGCGTTGTCCATGCGGACCAGCTGCGGCTTTAGCAGCGAGTGGCCGAAGCGGAAGGCCGCCGTGGAGAACTCGTTCACGATGGACGCGTCGCAGTACGGGTCGTAACCTGGAACAGGAGGAAGGTGGGATTTGGCAGTCAGGTGGGATACATGTCCCTCCTTAGGTCGAAGTCAGCATCAGAGCTCACACTGTACTCTTGGCTGCTGGTCATGTACGCGTCGTCAGCCACTGGGAAAGGGCAGCAAAGCCAGCCGAGGCGGCGCGCAACGGTTATTCCGATCGCACGAGACCCAGCCTGTCAGCGTCCTGAGCACCACCGTCCTGTCCCCTCCCCCCCCCCCCCCCCCCAGCCGTGCCCCGCTCGCCCGCTCACCCTTGTGGTAGCCTTCGCTGTCCAGGTTCAGGCCGTACAGGTTGATGGCGTTCCAGCCGAGCACGCGCGGCAGGAACTCGTTGTAGGTGATGTGCTGGTTGAGGGCCGACAAGATGCGCCGGCCATTCTGGAACAGCTGCTCGTCGTTCCAGTGTGGGTTGATGCGCTTCAGGTAGTCGACGATGCGGTTGTGCTCGCGCATGAGCAGGGTGTGCATGACGGCCAGGCCGGGCTGCTCCGAGGCGCGAGTGTCACCTGTGGGCACGACACCGGTCAGACGGGGCTAGGTCAGACGGGGCTAGGTCAGACGGGGCTTGGTCAGACGAGGCTAGGTCAGACGGAGCTAGGTCAGCTCACCTGGTACACAGAACTGTTTGCAACAACTGCACACCAAGTGCCGCCACACTGCGCAGTAACTGTGCTACAGATTAGCAACCAAAGTAGCGTCACAAGGCAAGTACATCCGTTTCAAGAATGCGGGTTGTTCCCCATTGATATTTGGATCAAACGCTCCTGAGTGAGTGTGCACCCTTGTTACAGATGTTAGTCGGCGTCCCACCTCACCAACACTCCCCTTGGTAAGAATCTGAGGTCTAGTCCCCCCCCCCCTGCCATTTCCACCCACCACATCCCCGCCATCTCTACCCACCACCGCTCATCGTCTACCGCCCCCGCCTCATTACCGTCCACTTCCGCTGAAGTCCTGCCCACTGACCGCCGCTAACGCCCCCGCCCATTGACCGCCGCTGAAGCCTCGGTCACTGACCGCCAGTGAAGCCTCAGTCACTGACCGCCAGTGAAGCAGACGCCCGAGTTGGACTTGCACTCCTCGTTTTGTGGGCGCTCTCGAGCGGCAGCAGGTCCTTGCCGCGGATGGGGTGGCGCGTGGCGTTGAGCCGGCCGCCGACGAAGCTGCGCAGCTGGCGCTGCTCGCACTTGTCCGAGCCGTACGTGTGCGACGCGTCCACATACGCCGTCACCTGATTCATCTGCTCCCGGTAACCTGTCGGCCGGGGCTGGTAACTGACGACGAACGCGCCGTCACCTGATTCATCTGCTCCCGGTAACCTGTCGGCCGGGGCTGGTAACTGACGACGAACGCGCCGTCACCTGATTCATCTGCTCCCGGTAAACTGTCGGCCGGGGCTGGCAACCGACGACGAACGCGCGCTGCTGTTTACGTCAGGCACGTTGGCTCATGCATATTCGCAAGGCCGCTCATCACGTGGGACTGCTGGTTATTTGCTAAGAGACCCTTAGGGCAATGGATACTTTCTCCCTTTTATGGCCGCGAAGTCGAGATTCCACGTACGTTTAGTTTTGCTTCAGCGGACCCAAGCTATTGAAAGACTATTAACAGATATCTATCGCAAATCTAAGCAGTGCAAAATAACTGGAAAACAAAGATGCGTCTCTACATGATATTCACTAAAAATTACAGAATCATGCCTGAAATCAGACTTAAGTTGGAGCTTCCAACACCTTTGAAGTAGCTCATAGCGTTCAGTACTTCCCGCTACCCAGCTACAGCCCGTCCCTACCGGGGCAGTTCTGTGTTCCGGCACCACTGACCTAGCGTGAGCTGTCCGGGCATGGAACGCGTGAAGGGCAGGCAGAAGAGCTGGCCGTTGGTGACGTTACGCCGCGGGAAGTAGGGGTCGTTCTCAGGCACAGAGATCGGCATGCACTCCGGGTGGATGGTGAGCGCCGCATCACACCGCCGGCAGTCCAGGATGCTGCAGCGGCGCAACGCGTGAGACGACGGCAGCTGGCGGGACGCCCTGCTTCACCCGCGCCGCAACATCAGCACATTCGATAGCCGTCGCCATGCCGCGCGCCTCGCCCGCCATGGACACCACTCGCTTTCCCAAACACGGAGGCCATAGACTCTCATCTGGGGCAGTCTGACGCAATGCTAGTGGCACGTGACGTGCCTCCCCCCCCCTTCCTTTCCGGCACCATCAGGTCCGCCGGGGCGCTCACCTCTCGCCGAAGCCCTTGTTAACGGGCGTGAAGGTGATGTCGTGGTCGATGAACTGACCCCACTGCATGATCATGAGGTTGTAGCGCACGTGCGGCGCCGACACGTCGTTGTGGATGTTGACTGAGATGAGGCGCGGCGACGGCAGCGGGTTGCCCGCCACGGACCGGTCCCTCGGCGCCATCAGACCTGCCGACGTCACGCGACGGGGGACGTCACAGACGTACAGTGCTATCCCGCTGAGTCTGGGCCAGCGCATGGCGGCGGGGGGGGGGGGCGTCAGGCCACTTCTGGGAAGTAATAATTATTTCACTATCCCCTGGAGATAGCGTCAACAGCGGGCAATGCAGGATGATCATGTAGTCACAGTCCTTTCATTATATCATCATATCATCACATCACATCACATGGTCAAAGTCCAATGCAGGATGATTACAGTGGAGGTCGCTCGGTTCAAGTGTCATACCAACACTGTAGTGGAGAAAGACGTCTGTAATATGACAAAAATCCTTGAATATGTGTGAAAGGGGGCTTCAAGGTACTGCAGGGTTTATGGGCAATAGTTACATCAGCGGTACCCGTAACATCTGCCAAGCACGGCTGTTCTTGTGATAGACAAGATAAGCCTTAAGCTCCTGGCTTTTCAGGATTATAAGTTCAGCATTCTTATCCACCAGTTATCAACCCTCAATATCGATAATTGTCGGCATAAGAACTGATCTCGCAATGACAGTGGCTATTGCGCATTCTAAAGCCTCTTCCTCGTGCGAGTGGAATGGTTTCGTCCAACGCCCCTCTTGAACAGCAAAAACAAATGTTTCTTGGAGCCTACAGTTCAGTTCAGTTCAGTACAGTACAAACTGCAGCTCAGTCGCTGGGCTTCCGCAGCAGCGACGGCCTTGCAATACAGCAGGTCAATGCCCAACGCATAGCGTCGTGCCGCCGCCAGCAATGACGAAACTACCTCTGATGCAACGATACCGGCAAACAGCTGCCGCAAAGCCAACAATGACCTCCCATTCGTCCATCAGTTTGCAGGCGTGCCATGAGTGCTGCGGTGGAAATGTGGTTCAGTGCACTGGAGCGCGGCCAGGTATGGAACTTATTGTCCGCATAATTTGAGGTAAATACCTCATCAACATTCGAGGTGTGACCAATCGCGGCTGTGACTTCGAGCGTTTCTAGCAGTGCGCGGTAGATTCTATCGGCGTTTGGGGGAAAACCGCCGCTGAATGGGGACTCGCAGACAATCGCGTTTTAAAACGTACGGCGCTGAACAAAAACCAACCATCATATCTGGGTGTCTCCGTAGCTCCGCGCCTTCTTTTCACGCAAGCATACATTTGCACATAAAAGACAAATGTATCGAACAGTCAAAAACTCGTTGGCAGTACCATCCAAGACCCCGAAGAACCACTGCCGGCCAGTTGCACAACCACGCATTCAGTTTCGCCGGGTCATCCTGAGCGATTCCACTGAATACGGTGAAACCCAAGCTCCGCGGTCACAGTGACCGACCACACGTGACGGGGTCGGTCACGCGAATGCTGGTGACCAGCTGCCGTAAGCAGGCACCATCCCTCCACCCCTCCGCCGGGCCCGGTCGGGTCCCGCTCCGGGTCCCGCTCCGGGTCCCGCTCCGGGTCCGTTCCCCTCACCGTCCGAGTAGTGCGGGCGCACGAGCCGGTTCAGGGCGCGCACGCCCTTGCCGAAGCCGGGGTTGTTGAGGTTGTTGCACCAGCCGGAGGCCGTGCGGAACTTGGACGTGTGGTCGCAGGGCAGCGTCTGGTCGTCACACTCGAACACGCTCGGGATCTCCATCACGTCCGAGACGTCGATGTTGGGCAGCACCTGGACCAGCTCGTGGATGTCGCGCGGCGCCACGCTGCCCGACTCGCGGTCCTTCAGCTGGTTGCTGCACGGTAGAAACGGAGGCAGACGGGTCATTGTGACGAAAACACGCACTCACGCCCGCGCGAGCGAGCACACACGCACGCACGCACGCCAACACCAGCATAAGCAACTACGCACGCACACACGCACGTGTGCACGCATGCTGGGACCAGAGACAGTTTCCTGTGATGACAGTTAAACTGCAGGTGCGGTGAATCGGTCGGATACCACGGGTGGTTTGCCTGGTGTGGTTCAGTGAAACAGTGCGCTCTCACACTTATCCGCTCCGGGCGATGTCTAGCCTAGGCCAAAAGAGGGAGAAAGCAGGCACAAAATCCGCGTGCGCAGTAGCCGCACAATTTCATTCCTATTCACTAAGTCCCATCTCACCCGTTCAAGAAGTTGTTGATGAATCGCTGCGAAGCGAACTGCAGCACCATGGAGGTGTTGGATATGTCCTGCGCCTGCCGCTTAGGTCTCATGAAGGCGTAGGCAGAGCCGATGGCAGACTTGGGATCGGCCGCCAGATCTGCGAATAGTTCAGCGTGCTGATCTGTCTAATTCGCATGCTGCATCCTCTAGATACGGAAAGGGACGAGTTGCTCTAATGTCTAATGATCCAAGTTCCGTGGTGAAGTGCTCCAGTTTTAATGGTCCAAGCCTAATCATGTTATTTCGGTCAAGGTCTTATGGTTCAATTGAGAATTTGACGTCCAGGTGAATACCATCTGGCAAGTAACATTTCTGAGACCGTGACAAGTAAGAAAATAACGGTGCATCGTCATTTGCAATGGCTGACGGCATTTGATCTATTACACATGTCTTGCGAGCAAATTTTGTCGCGTGTCGTGTGAAAGCACTGGACAATAACATATAAATGCGTTTATGTATATATATATATATATATATATATATATATATATATATACACAACCGTCAGTCACTTTTGGAAACTTGCGATTCTTTTTTATTCATCGATAGGTAATGGTACGTTTAGGACCGAAATCTGTATCTAATAAAGTTCCTCAATCACGTAGGCCACGTTACATAGGTTCGTAACCTTTCCTATGTTAACCAGGGCGTACATTCTCAGCATGATTTTACGATGTCTTGGCCTACGTGTGCCGTTTTTGCTTTAGAAAGTCCAATTTGTTCCCAAGCACAGGGATGTCGTTTTCTATCTCGTTTGGGGGCTAAAGACCCCAACTTGGGCTCTAGCTCCCTCCCCAACTTTGGGAAGAAAGCGGACAAAATCCAGTGAGAAATAGGTTTGTTAGGATATTTGGGGTCAGTTTGGGTCATTTTAAACTGCCCAGTCTCCCGTTCCACCACTACCCCACCCCCCACCCACTCATTTTGCTTAACTACGCCCCTAACCCAGCATTAAGGTCTGCCTGACCTTCGTAACTCGAGCACTTACTTTTGCTGTGTAGGGGCAGTTTGAATCTGCGCGCTTGAAGACCTGTTTTCGTTATAGCTAAGGCTACCACTTACTTGTTTTATATTTTCACTCTTACATATTGAAATACCTTACCACTGACTGCGTCCCTGAAAGCCCTCGAAGACGGCGCGATAGCTACGCTTTCTTAAACGAAGTGTTCCACATTTGCATAGGGTTTTCGACTGAAATAGTCATCTTGAAGATCTTTCGGTGCAGCTCACAGCCGCGCCCTCCCTAAGACCTAAAACCCTCTAGTTCCTGAGCTATACGCCCGCGAAGATGTGCAAACTATCGCGTGCAGATTATGTCAAGGCCATTCGGCATACATGACGCCATAAAAACGTCATTCAAATCCTGTCACTCCATTGGTCATGCGGATTTCAAGGCCAATGATAATAGAGTTGTCGAGTCGTTCACATCTGGCGTTCATGAATACGATTTCCAAGTATAAAGAACGTCGATTGGCTCTCAATCCATGTTTTGCAGGCTACGCAAAGTTCAAACACAACTCAAATTTTGTGCTACATAGTACAAGAAGTTAGACATGGTTACTGGTCATTATGGAAATAAGACTTACAACTGAATGAATTGAGAATGGCACCATAACTGAGCATACGAATACAAGTAAACACCATACACACACGGAAAAATATGCAATCAGACCACGAGAAAGAGCCGAGCACTATCATATGACGATAATTGGTTCATCAAACGCGTCCAGCACCGCTACGGCGCCACGGTCACCTCTCAAGAGATTGCAGTACTACAAGTTAGTGCTAGGGTGGCAATTCCGCACGGCTAGTTTGAGAGCACCTCAGCGTCACACAAACGTGACGCAATCAAGCAATGACGTAGTGCCGAGCATGTTAACTTTATAGATAAACTGTATTTTCTAAAGCAGTTTTTACCACTTAAAAGCATACCACTAGCTGCAAGTGAGCTTATTCCATCATGTCTGATGCTTACCTCAATATCTTAAAATGCGGAACATTTCCCTTAAATAACCTAGCACCGAATATGTTTGCTAAGCATGCGCAATATGCTTCATCTGCTGCGCTAAGACTTACGACGGCTGCATTACACCCTTTTCTGCACCCTCCGAAATGGCGCCTTGGGTTGGCATCCATGCCCGGTGCGGGTTAAGGTATGTACGCGGCAGAAAATGTCGGTGCATGATGGATGATCGACGAGATTTAGATATCCCTCAACGATAGTCCCCGGTTGGTGCACGGCCGGCACTGACTGTTACCGTGCGGCCGACTAGGAGCGACGGCTGGCGGCGCCGGCTCGGCGCTGCGCCCTACCGTTAGCCGGCATGAAGCCACCCGGCTTTCGTGACGATGTGGCCCGCCTCTTGACCGGCACATACAGAGTGTCACATCCGGCGGTACAATGCACAATTCATAGTAAGTTGTGTAATGGAGGAAACGTGCTCTTGCATGCCCACTACTCATGCGTCGCCAAGAACCATTGCAGACGGTCAGTATGTGGCGTGATAGCGGTGGTGATGTCCGACATGATGTCCCAGATCTGCCCGCGGCCTTGGTACCATCACATGCGTGCAGGCCTGCAGCCGCTACCGGGGCGGCGGCCATGGCGCCGCCCACTTCAGCGAATTGTCTGCACGGCCCGGCGGGAGGCGGCGCCGGCGCGGCTGGTGAAGAGCGCTGCCAGGCACCGGTGCTGGCCCATACAGGAGCGCTCGGCGGCCCGGCTGCCCGCTGTGCTACGCTCACGTCGTCCAAAAGTGGCGGCATTGACTGGTTCGTTTCGGCCCGGAAAGAGGTGCCACAAAGGGTGGCCGTGAGCGGGAGACTCCGTGACTCTGCTCGCTGATCCGTTTCACAGACACGAGGAGAGAACAAAAGCCCGGATGTGATGGATGTTAGGTGACCTGTCACCATGAGTGATGTCCACGCCCTCACATGCACATGCCGTGCAACCAGTGGGAAGTTAGTCAGGCCGTTAAGTCAGCACGGGGACCAGTGTCCGGTCAGCCAGTCAGCGGTCACCACAGGAGCAATCAGCGATGTGCCCATAGCATTTTGTGATATTTGAACACACCTGAAGGCGCGGTCTACCCCAAACAGGATCGGCACTTGGCACTCCATGTGGTCCTTTAGCCCGGCACATCCACTGGTTGCGTCATTGACAGGAAGTGTGCGTGTCTGGTCCGTTAGTCAGCAGTGAGCTGCCGTTTCCGGGTCAGGCTGGCAGTGCCAAAGACGAGTGAGTGGGTCGCCGCTGGGTGCTGGTGGCGGATCCATCGGTCACTGGTGGGTGCTGGTGGCGGATCCATCGGTCACTGGTGGGTGCTGGTGTCGGGTCCATCGGTCACTAATGGGTGCTGGTGTCGGGACCATCGGTCACCAATGGGAGCTGGTGTCGGGTCCACCGGTCACCAGTGGGTGCTGGTGTCGGGTCCACCGGTCACCAGTAGGGACAGCGTCAGGTCCACTGTTCACCGAAAAGTACTAGTGACGCGTCGGGCCGTCAAGGATGGTTGCCTGTGTCGCGTCGTAGTCACCGTTGGGTTCGTGTGTCGCGTCCGAGTCATCAGCAGCACCCACGTCGGTCGGCGCCGCCACGTCCCTACTCACTCTCATTGTACAGCTTCTCCTCGTGGGTGCGTAGCGTGCTCCACGCGGCCTGGCCCACCTCGACCGAGTCGAAGAGGAGCGCGATGGCCTCCTGGAACACGCGCGAGTTGGGGTCGCCGGCCTGGCGCGGCCGGCGACGCACCAGCGCGCGCACCATCTCTGGCACCGCTGCAACGTCCGAACGTCGCGTGGGTCACGTCAGGTCACGGCGTCGTCCGGTTAGTGGGTTAGTGGCGCCGAAGGCCGCCTGGTGCACTCCACGAGGGACCAGATGGCGGCCGGTCACTGGCGTCAGACAGCAAGGGACCGTTTTGTTCATACGGGGGGCAGTGGCTTTAACGGTTGCGGGGCATGCCGGGCTCAGTAGCTCTCTTTGTCGGGTTAGAAAGCGTCTGTCATAGCACAACGAAAGCGAGGGATTTTACTCACAGGCGCAGCAGCACCGATCATCACTCGCCCGCGTGTCGGATGCTGCCACTGTGCACTCAGTCAGTCTCCTGGCACCTGGCCTCGCAGCACCCACTGCAGCGGCGCAGTGGCCCCGCCGCCCGGCCGTCTGCACACTCACGGGCCTCGTGCAGATTCCACTCGGTGTGACGCATCTCGCCCAGGTCACGCTTGGCGCGCTCGATCGACTGGTGCAGCATCTCGTCGGGCACGACGAAGTTGGGCGACAGCTGGCGCCAGCGGTCCAGGTTGATGCGACCGATCATGCCTTTGGCGCAGTCCATCCGGGCGTTCCTGCCGGCCGGCGGGGCGCCAGACTGAGCGGCGGAGACCGACACCCGGCCCACTGAGCGTGACGCCATCATCCGGCGAGCGTAGGCCTTGGGACTCGGCAAATTTGGCCGTGTAGCTGGCTAGCTATCGCAACACGCGCCGCACCAGCCTCAGACCGGGTGTCCGGAGTCGTCATCGACCGCGGTGTGGTCTGGCGAGGATAAAGAGCGAAAGGGTGCAGTAGCGCAATCCTAACAGGCAGGGAACTGGCAGCCAGTTGTGAGCGCCGGTGCATCGACAGGCTCGTGGCGAGCACACTCACAGGAACTCGTCCGATTGGAGCAGCACGGTGGGCTGCATGTAGTCGATGGCGTCCGCGTTGTCGCAGATGATCCGCGCCAGCGACGTCTTCCGGATCTCGGCCAGCTGGTCTGCAACGGCACGTCCCTACGTCAGGCCCGTCGCCAGCTATACGCGATGCGGCGCATTAGGCGCCCCTGGAATGCATCTCGCCAATCCTGTAACACATCGCACCGATGCACGGCCATGCCGGCAGGACGCCCCTGATGCAATACCATAAAAGGCCACTTAGTCACCTCTCCGGTGACGTCATGGATCATCTTTTCCGTGACGTCCGCGAGTTCTACCACACTGCAGTGTGCGTCCCAGTACGTGAAAGGCACGCCACGCCAGCTTGAATGCGCGTCATGCTAATCAGCAAGAACAAACTGTTTTTGGTGCGCGCTGGAAGGGCCGCGTCACATGGAATCCACCAAGTCACCACATTTCGTGCGACAGATCTGATAGGCGGCACGTCTCGGTGTCAACACCACGTCATCAGGGCCGGCAGCAGCCGAGCGAGCTGGGCAGCCGGTCGGCGGCGGCTCTTCGAGTCTCTCACCTCTGGTGAATGACGAGGGCGGCACGTCGTTTTCGTACCAGTAGCGGTCGCCACGCTTCAGGTAGTGGAACTGGCGGCCGATCAGGCAGCCAAAGGTCGGGCCGACGAGCGCCCCGACATTGGCCGTCTCGGCCAGGCCGCCCGTGAACAGGTCGATGTCGTCCACGTGACTGCGGCGCGGCCGCGGTGTTACGGCTTGAGGCGCCCAGGAGACGACGGAGGAGGCGGGCGGTGTCGGCCGCCGCCCCCGCCACAACGTCGCGCACACGGGATAACGTGGCTTATCACTCGAGTTTCAACAAAACGGTTTGCAGCCCTCTTAAAGAGCACCTCGGCCCATTTGTCAGTTTTTCGTTATTGGGCATGTGGCAATGACTTGACCTACGCTATGACCTGACATGTTACGGAATATAGAATTTCATCACAATCTTCATGTCAAACCTGCTCTGAGGATTCCAGAACAAGTCCATCTAATGCGATCTTGCTCACCACACACCCAGATAATGCTTACTGAAAATATTTCCCGGTGTACTCTGCACGAAGAACGAACTGAGAATGACTTGACAATTCGACTGATCGTTAACTATGCAGGACAGAACCCCTAGACTGGTCGCCTCCTGCACGCATGCCCCCGAGGAAGACATCATCCCCCGGTGTAAAAGACGCACCTGTAGACTCGCTGCAGGGCCTGGATGACGTTTGGCGCCATGGTGTCGCCGAGATCCTTGAAGCTTTTGGCGCGCTCCAGGCCGCAGAAGCCCTTCCACTCGTTGTAGCCGGCCACGCCATGGTCTCTGCCCTGCTGGATCAGCTGGGCGGCCAGGTCCAGACCGAACCCTGCCCAGACCGGCCGCGCAACATGTCTAAACGCACGCTCGGATGGTGGTGATAGGGGGGGGGGGGGGGAGGGGTGGGAGCAGAGGAGACCGACATGGTGAATGCTTTCACGCGAGACGTTTAGATGGATTAAAGAGTACCTATACAGATTCGTACTGATTGCACTCACCTCCTCATACGATCGGATCTGCACAAGTACCTGAATGTCTTGCGGCTGTGTCTCGCCACGCGTCACCGTAGGCTTATGCAATACAACCGAGTCACAAGCTCGGCACGTCACACGGTGAGGGAGCGTTTGTGTGTCACCCACAAATGGGCTGGTTTGTGTGATCTAAAATAAAAGCTAACTATTGACGTCGCATATGTTGGTGGAGATCAACGGTACCGGAAAAAGGCCCGCAAAACGGCAATCAGCTCTCACCGTCAGCCGAATCCTCAATTAGCTCTCACCTTCAGCCGAATCCTCAATCAGCTCTCACCGTCAGCCGAATCCTCAATCAGCTCTAACCGTCAGCCGAATCCTCAATCAGCTCTCACCGTCAGCTGAATCCTCGAACAGCTTGTTGGTCATGGCCTCCGAGATGAAGACGTCCTCAGCCATGGCCTTCTCGCGCACCAGACCCTCCAGGATCTGGTCCAGCCTGCCCTTGACGTACAGCTCGAACGGCGCGTAGAACGTCGACGTCAGGTCCAGCTCGTTGACCACGCGCTCCTGACGGACGGTGAGCAGTAGTAACTACATCAATTCGGGCCGTCCGCCACATGCTGGGGTAAAACGGTGCAGGTCAGACCGCACGCTGCTGCGCGGTGCATGCTGTTCGACTCATCCACCAAACGCTGCTGATGACCTCTGGGGGTCAGGTCACGTCCGGCTTACCAACGCCTGGTACGCTAAGCTTGATGGGAATGCAGCATGGTGCGCTATCTCTACTCTCAGCACGGAACGAGCCACGGATCCCCAGTGGTCGCTGCTTTCCCCGAGGGGAAAGGGAGCAGACGACCGCCGCCTCCCGAGGGGCCGCATCTGGTTACGAGTTCGTGAGCTGCGGTCGCTGGAGTTCGAAACAGGTCACTTGACCCACCTTGCCCGAGGCAGGTGGCGGTCGCCAACTGAAGCGTTTCTTCACCGAGTCTACACTATTTGTCAACTTCCTATCCTCTACCGCACCGCGAACCATGCATTGGGCAGGATCAAATTATGAAATAACCAGCTGGATGTTGTTAAACATTCACGACGAGGTTTTTGATGACAATCTCTGATGAGTTAGCATTAGTCATATTATTTTCGAAACTCCAACTGGTTTGACGCTACTGCATGTTGAAAACTGAGCCGCAAACCGCGGCAAATGACCTGAAAAGTTTTCATTTGAACGTCTGAAAGTGAGATCGCTTTTATAATCGAGTCCCTGCGCCACGCCCGACAGCCGGTGGCGCGCGTGTCGACTGGACACCCTGGCCTCTTTTCTCACGGCGTGACTGTCGACGCGCGGAGTCTCGACCGCGGCGCCCGAAGCGAGCCCCCGGACATGGGCACCGCTCCGCCGCACTCACGCCGTTCCGAAGCGCGATGCTGCTGCCCATCATGGAAGCGACGAAGCGGAGGGCCGAGGTGGCCACGCTGTTGGCCACGCCCGGGTCGATGTTGATGTCGTAGCCGGTGAAGTAGCCGGCCTTCTCCACCTCCAGGCCGTACTTTGAGACGATTCTCTGCGGTTGAGGACGTGGGGTGATCATGGAGCCGCCGTGTAAGCCATAAAGGCGGCGCTGGGAAGCCGTGGGACATTGTGTTCATGTGATAGAGGGTACTAACGAGTCTCAATTGCCGCCGCATGAGCTTGGACACGATTTTCAGACCATCGACATGCTGGGAAATAACCCGGATAAACTTTTTGACGGTCGCGTAACGTCGTCATTGCTCCAAGCACGGCCATCAATCCTCCCCGCAAATGGCTAGCGTTTAATAAACATGTGACCACATTCCAAACCCTGCAGTGTATAATGCAGCTGAGCCGAGGAGCTAACTCGTCTCACGGCTTATCCACATGGTTCACCTTCAGAGCTGCACCACCCAAAGGCATATACCAGCTTTCAGTGTGTGGGGGGAGGGATGCGTCGCCGTACCGGTGAGCCGTCACGCTTCACCCAGGAACTGGAGAGTGCGACGTCGCGGCTAAACGGATCGGTGAGGGCATTTATCGCACTGAGAGGCAGCACGGCGGCCGCTGAGCGAGTCCCAGCGCCCAGCACGCCGACGTGAACCGGCTAGAAAGCGGCGCCTAGAAAGTGTTTCCGATGGTGATGATGACGGATAACGATATGATCGTCTCGTCAGTGGCTAACTGTGTCGTTCCGCCCGGTCTCAGGTGACCAGGATGGCGCTGTCCGCCGCTGCGGACGCTCGGCGGCCGGGGTGAGCTCACAGTAGCTTACTGTGCCGTGCCGCCTGGGCTCAGGTGACCAGGATGGCGCTGTCCGCCGCTGCGGACGCTCGGTGGACCGAACAGCGGCCCAGGCTGAGCTCACAGTGACCAAATGTGTCGTGCCGCCCGGGCTCAGGTGACCAGAATGGCGCCGTCCGCCGCTGCGGACGCTCGGTGGACCGAACAGCGGCCCAGGCTGAGCTCACAGTAGCTAACTGTGTCGTTCCGCCCGGGCTCAGGTGACCAGGATGGCGCTGTCCGCCGCTGCGGACGTTCGACGGCCCGGGGTGAGCTCACAGTAGCTTACTGTGTCGTGCCGCCCGGGCTCAGGTGACCAGGATGGCGCTGTCCGCCGCTGCGGACGCTCGGCGGCCCGGGGTGAGCTCACAGTAGCTTACTGTGTCGTTCCGCCCGGGCTCAGGTGACCAGGATGGCGCTGTCTGCCGCTGCGGACGCTCGGCGGCCCGGGGTGGGCTCACAGAACACCGACAGCTGGCGCTCACAAGACTGGTGCTGCGGCGAACGGCCAGTGGGCCTCGCGATCACGTCTGTTGCACGTCGTGATGCCACTCCACAGCGCACAACGGCGTCACGTGGCTCATGTCCATAAGCGCGCTCGAGTCCGTCTCGGCGCCGTCAACTGCATCCAAATCGCTTTGCATGACATCGACTCCAACCGCGATTACGGATCACTGTTAGCAAATTTGGGTCGAGCCTGATTTGTACTGGACCAGAACGCAAACACCCGTGTTCTGACGTTGGGGCTCGGGAAGGACCAGCATTGGAGTTGGCCTTAGTGCAATTCCACTCGGCAATTATGACTTACTTTGCGTAGTAGCTGCAATTCATAGGAAGGTCGGAATGCGTTTTACGGAATCTCATGCCTCACTTAACGCTCAAATATGTATGCTGCATTTGGGTGCCTATTTCACTCCATAACAACATTATCCTCTGTGCGTTTCATTTATTTCCTAATAGACACTGGTCACGCGTAAAAAAGGACCCTTTCTGGGCATCCACAACTCTAACCGAGGCATCGCCTTTATGTTATTCCGACTCCATTCGCTTGGCCTTAATGGAATTGATCCCTACCTTGACTCTATTCTTGCTCTATTCTGGTTCCGGATGTCATCATCAATGCCAACAGGACTAAGCGCAAGTCATGCGGTCGGTAGCGCTTGCAAAAGACAGAGAACTAGGTGCATGTCAGCTCGCTTAGTTTGGAATTCGGATCTCCATGGAAGCGAGGTAACATCGCGTGACCGTCATGATTCGCTCTGTTGTTTGAGGTGCCACAGCCGGACGTGAGTATGCAAATCACAAGGTTCTGGCAGCTGCCTCTATTTCGTAACAAATATTCATGCTCATGGATTAGCAGCCAACCCCTTTCACATTTCGTTGGGAAATTGGCTGAAGACCAAATGATCTTCTTGTTGTCTTTTCTGATTTACACTGTGTATTTTAGTATGAATTTTTCAGTGGTGGCGCTTTCATTAAGCCACCTCAGGCACTGCCTCACCAAATTTTAGAGGCCAATTCAGCATCTTCTCAAAACTATTTGGTGACCTTAAGCTGTCCCAAAACTGCATGTTTACGGCATATTTCAACTTATCTAGATCTACGCCGGTTATAAAAACGCTGCAATTTTCTGTTAATTTTTCCGCAATAGCATGTACATGGCATATCACTATTTTAGTTGCATTTTGCTTTGAAATAATTCAGAAAAAACATAACCATGCCACACACACACACACACACACACACAAACATCAGCCTAAGGTATGCTTGAACCAGCCTAAGCCAAAGTGTTTGGCTAGATGTCCTGACCAGGAATCGACTCTTTGGGCGCAGTCGCTTGACATCACCACCTCTACTAGAAACTGATGAATGCCAACGTTTGTGACGTCGATACGAGTGGGCAGGACACGTGACTCATAGACCTGGAAGTCAGTTGAATACTTCATTCGTTTGAGAGCACGTGAAAAGACCAGTATGCACAGCCATACATCCGCCTGGATGGCGAGGTCCCGTGCCACTGCCTAAGTTACCGTAAAGGGCTGGCGCCGTCATTGATGTTTGCACGCATCTATGCACGTCTACATTTTAAGTATTTTTGCTGCACAAACACCGCAGAACGACGGTGTGCGTCTACCATACCAAATCATGCCAATTCTAAATTGACAAGCATGATCCACAGCTATGCAGCGTACTGGATGTCCTCGTGCGTTTCCACAAGAGTTACCGCGCAGCCATCCTTCACGTATACCCGGTTGTTTGTTTTTAATCCTGGAACGCCTGATGACTGTTATTGGATCCGGCTGACTAAGGTCACAGATGAGGTAGCGTCACCGTGGGTACACACCGCCGGCTCTTCAGAAGAGGACCTTAACATTGTTTGAGCTGACTGCAGCCGGCCCATGGCCATGTGTGGCCGGTGTCGGTTCCGCCTGAGACGCGCCGGCTCCGGGCCACTCGGCAGCCTCCGCGGATCCAGACCACGAGACAATTTAGAGTGAGAGCTGCCCGCGCCACGGGTGAACACCCACCCAATATGGCGGCCTCTTGCGGCAGACAACACGGCATGTCACCGACTCGTCGCCAGTGACACTCACTGGCACGCCGTGACGCACGCCACGGCTGGCCGGTGGACCGTCCGTCGGGTCAGGTCGGACCGGGTCGGGCCGACCGGCAGCCCCACCGTGCGGGGCCAGGCGCATCGGCCACCGGATGCGGTGACTCACGCGCCGGTCGACCGGACCCCGGTCGACCGGCGCGTGACCGGGGTCCGGTCGACCGGGCCCCGCTGCTCTGCAACATACCGCGCACCGGCCGGCCGCCCGCAAAAACCGCCGCCGCCCTCTCCTGCCCGCCGATTGTGCTGCCCAAGTCCGACTGACGTCCTTCGAGACAATCCCCCGTTTTTGCGGCGGCTGGCCGCACTGCCGCAGCGTGCGCGCTTTCGGCCGTGGGACACCGCCGTGCGCCACGGTGGGTCGTGCGAGCACCGTAGTGCAGCGCAGTGGATTCATGGTGCCTCACAGTGCCTGCCGCGACGGGCTGTAAGCGTATCTCGAGGCTCTGGCCGATGGCAGAACCTATGATTCGGCTCACTCCCTGGTTGCGAAGCACCCACAGGAACGGTACAGAGCAAGCGTCCCAAGCGCCGTTCATCCCAAGGTTACAATAGAAAGGGCGCACGAACATGAACAAGCTACTCAGTCAGATTCGACGACTGACAAGAGTGCATTCCGGGATGGCCCTGACTGACGCATCCATACCCGCAAGCGCTCAATTTAGTAGGAGAAGTTGGGCGTTTGGCCAAGTCGCCCAACGCGATGGGCTTCGCTCCGCCTGAGGCGCTGAGGTGACTGTACTGAGCTGAGCTGAGCCCATTAGCCGCTCGCCGTCAGTCCACGACACGTCCACACAGGCCAGCGGGTCCTTTCCTACGTCGAAGCAAAAGTGGCCACTAGGTCATTGACGGTTGTGAGACTCGCGTGTAAGTTTTTGGCCTTTTTCGTCCCCGTGGCTCATCCCTCGACATGCAGGAAGTTCCCTAATTTTCGTGGGGTCGTGCATCTTTAACGGTGCCATTGAAAACCTGGTCATGTCTGATTCACAAACTGCCTTGAGACACCCGACTCTCCCTTGTGGCTAGAAGAGGGTCGTTGGTCACTGTCCTGCCTTCGTCCTCACACTTTTGTAAACGATTTTATCCTTTTACAAATGTCTGCGTCAATATCCGTGCTTACGCAACATGACTGCGGTCGTCCTGACTGTTCAGCCCAGGATGTGTTCCAGAGAACGGCTGGTTCTCCGAGGCTTGGTACCGAGATAAGATTGCTTCATGTAAACCCTTTTGGGCGTGCTCGACAGGATTAAGCGATGATCTGCCGTTTAATCACGTGATCAAGCGGCACCACGGCAGCGAGGACGTCACGACCATTTCCAGCGACCGAATCTGGAAGCCTTGACATGAGCAAGTGCGGCCTTACGCTTCTGCTTTTTTGGTATTATGACTCCTTGTTATGGAAATAACTGCCATTATTACGGCCGACTGCCAGAAGCTAAGTGCTATTGTGGCAACCTGCCAATATTTTGCCAAAAGGTGCTCATCTAACACAGATATGTACGCGTATCAATTAGAACAGTGTGTCACGTCTTCGATTGATTACACGAGACAGTTCATTAAATCCCCTTATCTCATCTCGGTGCCAAGCACACATCCTCACAACATATCCTAATGATCGGTAGCTATCGCCGTATCTCGTGATCTCATAATGATAACCAGCATCTCGTGGCTCTTGGTATCCTGAAGGTCAGATAGTTTCAACATCAATGCCGAAAAACCTGCATGTGAAGGCCTTTCGTGCCCATTCTGAGATACCGAGCGACCACTGGAATATACTATAAGAATTATTTATAACTGATACCGAGCCGACCCCATGGCCGATATTCAGCCGATAGACGGTATCAAACCGAGCTAATGCGTAGGAAACATACAATAATACTTGACTTTTCAAGGTAGTTCTCGTGGCTACGGGTGAGTTATAGCCTCTCGTGAATATTAAATATTGCACCCGGCGTGTTGAGAATCGGTTATTTTCGGCTGAACAGTTAGTAGTGCTTAAAATCCGTTTGAACACGGGCATTTTAAGGACACACGCATCCAAGGGAGTTTCCGCAGCTGTTGGGGAGCGTTGGCTGGGAGCGCCGCTGCCGGGCGGCCTCTGCGCAGACCGGTACTCACGCTGCCCAGCACGACCGGCAGGAACTCGCTGTAGGTGATGTGCTGCAGCTCGGCGCCGACCACGCGGCGTGCCTCCTGGAACAGCTGCTCGTCCGTCCAGTGCCGGTTCATGGCGGCCAGCTCCAGCGCTGCGGACAGGGGCCGAGTCACCTACAGACATTCTCCGGCGGCGAACAGGGACCGAGTCACCCCAGGCATCCAGCGCTGCGAACAGGGGCCGAGTCACCCACCGACATCCCGCGCGGCGGACAGGGGCCGAGTCACCCATGATCTCTGGCGGCGGACAGGGAGCCGTGCCATCCATAGACCTCCGGCGGCTGGGGCGTCGACAACAGCTGCGGGCTGAGGCACGCGCTCTCGGTTGACAGTTATCACTCGGAGAGCTGGACCTTGGCTATCTGAGCTTTCTCCTTTCCTCTCTATTTTCCGATGAGTGCCTCCAGAACTCAGGGGCTTGGCTAAACCGAACTCATGGGACCTGATTGTTGACTTCGAGTCGGTTTGAGGTAAGATTAATAAGCCGGTCGTTACCTTCCTTCAAGAGGAACTCAGATTCTCTGTAAAAAATATTCTGACCGATTTCAATTTCATTTCGCCTCCATCGATTTCAGCCGTATGCCACCAGCGTTTTACTCCGGTATCGTTCTAAGTATTGATAGCCCGCGCGGATTCGTTGAGAATCTTGGCTACTTTGACGAAAGATCCCATCAGGCTCCGGTACCATGCATACAGTACAAGCGCGGTGTGTGGAAATCGTCACGAAACACCGCTATTCATAATTCAATTCGGTGATAGCAAACGATCCATGTAAATACAGATGAAGTAAGACTGTCGGACGCTTAAATAGGTCTAAACGTCGTCGGAAGCTTGAGTCAAATATTCCCAGCATTTACTTCGTAATGCCTACTTCGAGAGGGCTTGGCTGACGTTCATGTCCGTCTGTCGTGTGAAGTTTGTCCATGCAAATCCCGGATTGAGGAAATCCGTTGCCTGGGAACTGCTTGCACAATCTCGCACGAAACAAAGCACACAAAGGCCCGCACTATCCGAATGGCATCGTTGAGGACGCACGTCGCCCAGCGTATTACAACGGCATTATGGCATGAAACAGCAACATTTGCGTCATGCTTCGTTGTGAGCTGAACGTAATGGCGAACTCAAAGCTCAAGAGCTATCCAAACTCCTTGAATATTTAATCCTAAATTCTCGGATGTATTTTCAACTTTCTTCAGCATGCCCGCCAATGTCCACAACCAGCCACAGAGCTCCATGAGCCGCCTAGGCTTTCCTCAGGTGTCACGCCACCTGCCGACTTAATCCGTCAGGTGGGTGTCCAGAGCCTTTGTGTTCGTCCAGGACCTGCCACACGGCAACCAGAACCATGCTGGGCGGCACTGAGTGCCTTGAGCTTGGTTTCCACGCGCCGTCTAAAAGCCCGTTTAGCTTCGTCAGCGACGTCGTCGACCAAGGAGCAAACCAATCAGCGGCGACGGCCAGGCAATTCCCGCCATTTCATTTTGACGAATGGCCGGAGCCGACGGACGTCAGCGGGCATGCACAAACGCGACTGGGACCAGACTGGTGTTGGCCGTGCCGCGGCTCGGCCGGCGACGTCACGGCCGCGCCACCGGCCAGCGCCGGCGGCCCGGGGAGCGGCGGTGGCGGCCGGCCCCGGCAGCGGCGGCGGTGGCCGGGGCGTCGCCGGCTCCGGCCCGGCAGCCGCGGCCGCTTGTGCAACACAGCTGTCTGACCCAGCGCCGGCGGCGGTCCAGCTGTCCGAGCCGGGACGGGTGTCGGCTGGGGAGCCGGGCCTGGCGGCGCCCCACCCGCCCCACCTCTGGTAAGACTGGGAGCAGTCGGACGCGAGGTGGGCTTAGCCAGCTTTCCGGGGCTGGCTGAGCGCGGTAGCCGCGCACCGAAAGGATACCGCCGACCCCAACGTCTGAGCTGGGGTCAAGCTGGACCAGAATCAGGCGGAAAGGGAAAGCAAATAGAAAGACTGCCAGGCGGACGTGCCGAGGGTATTATCCCACTACAGCGCTTAGATGTGATTAGGCAATGCCACAGGACCGTTTTTGAGAGCTGAGAATTAGGGCTTTGACTTGTTTGATTACCTCTTTTGCGGTAATATAATCCTGCACGCGGCATGGCATCCGCATGCCACGATGTCGCTTTCGTTTCCGTTCATTATGATTAAGCAAACTAATGCCATTAGCAAAAAGCGCCCATCTCATCCACTGGCATTCACGTGAATACATTTGTAGTGCTGCTGGTGCTCAAGCACTGCATTATTTCAAAAGAGCCATCAAGTGAAGCGATGCGATGAATAAAGTTTTGCTCCCTACCCCTTTGTTGTACTCAAGACATTGCAATGGAGGAATTTGGCCCACGACCACTATGTTAGATTTCCAAATGCAGTGAGCTGTCGGACCTGTTGGACCTGCCGCTGTATGGCGGTAAGCTGGCAACTGACCGGGAGTTGCGGCACAGTCTCGACGGCAGTGTCGGGGCAGATCGTGTGACACAAAACAGGTCCTGCCCCAGCCCTGCCTGGCAATGCGACTGAGGCCGCCATTGTCCGTTGAACTGTCATGATATTACCAGGCTATTGACTTCAAGACGCAAACAAGACACTACCAGGCTACCGACTCCAAGACGCAAACAAGACACTACCAGGCTATTGACTTCAAGACGCAAACAAGACACTACCAGGCTACTGACTCCAAGACGCAAACAAGACACTACCAGGCTACTGACTCCGAGACGCAAACAAGACACTACCAGGCTATTGACTTCAAGACGCAAACAACAAGACACCACCATGCTATTGACTCCAAGACGCAAACAAGACACTACCAGACTACTGGCCTCAGACGCAAACAGCAAGGCACTACCAGGCTATTGACTTCAGGACGCAAACAAGACACTACCAGCCTGCTGACTCCAAGACGCAAAGAAGACACTACAGGCTATTGACTTGAAGACGCAAACAACAAGACACTTCCAGGCTATTGACTTGAAGACGCAAGCAACAAGCACATCTTAGCATGTACCGGCATACTCATAACCCCAAACGTCTCGTGTAAACCACCCGAATGCAATTCCGGCAGCAACATTAGCACTCAAGTGTGGGAGTAGAACAGCACCTAGCCAGCCGGGCCTCTGACCGGCGGCCAGCACCGCGGGCATCGCGTGCTGGCTGGTCGTGTCCTGAACACCCGGCTGGGCGCCCGGGATCGGGGTCGGAGGGTCAGGGCGCCGCGCCGGCCCGGTCACTCACCGACTCGGTTGTGCTCCCGGGCGAAGAGCGTGTGCATGGCGCCCAGGGCGGCGTGCTCGTTGACACGGACGTCTCCCGAACGGAAGCAGCTGGAACGGCAGGACGGTCAAGCGGGCGGCAAGTGTTGCCAGGGTAGGTCGGCGGCACATGTCTGGTGTTGCGAGCTGTCTTTCACATTATGTGGAGAATGGCGCATTTGCATATACAGCGGGCCTTCTCAAAAGTGAAACGCGATATCAACGCTCTTCTCTAAGGCAAATGACGCAATCACCCATCCTTTCGTTAAAAATTGACCTTCGCAAACTACTAAGACTCCGAACTGTTTGAGAGTCACGCACATGCTGCTGTTAAATAGTGGGTGTGTTCATTAATGCATTACCGGTTCATGCTTAGCATTGCCCGCCTCCGGGCGCATTTGCAACGGAGACAAAAAGGCCCATGCCATTGTTTTACTGCCCACGCCAAGTCGACATCAAGCTCAGAAGAGAAAGGTTATGACGCCGTTGAATTCTGAGTAAGACTTCTCCAACGTAGCCTTGCTAATGCTGATCCTGACACTAGCTTAGAGGCTTAACGATGAATGTTACGGAGAACGAATTCGCACCGTTATCTCCTCTACTGTACGAAAATGTCCCAGCTGCGTTCCGCTTGGGGCAGAACAGGTCCCAGGACCAGGCCCTCGGGTGCTGCAGGTCCAAGGGTCGTTACGCGTCCAATCCAGCACCGCGCTCGGCGCTCGTCTTTACTCGCAAATCTAACGCGACAAAATAACGGCTTCGCGACGTCAAATTGCGTGGCAATAGTCAGATGGATAACTATGTCAAACATCAATGCGGACACGGATTGTGCGGACATGCAGCCCCGTCGGTATGGGCGTCACCTCCGCGTCAACGGGAGCGGATTTACCACCGCGCCCCACCGGCGCGTGCCGTGCCATACCGCCCCACACGCGCTCCGTGCCATTGGCGGCTTGGACGACATCCTCACAGTCGGCCGGCACTGAAAGTCGTGCTGAGAAGGCAAACCCGCATCCTGCCCAGTCGCGACGGTAAAATTGCGCCGTAGGAATTCACGCCGTGGAAATACCGCGAGCGGTACCCATGGGCATGGGTGGGGCTGAGAGACGCTGGCTGGAAATGGCAGGTGGCTGGCCACCTCGTGTTGGCCGCGCGGAGGGTGGCTCGCTGTGGCATGCTGGCCGCACTCTCACCTGAGCGAAGGGTGCGGCTTGCAGTCGAGCTGCGTCGGGTCAGCCGACAGGAGGCCCTTGGAGCCCGACGGACCCGGCTGCATCTTGAGAAGACCCTTCTTGAACTGGCGGATCTCGTCATTCTCCTCCTTGCTGCTGCCGTAGATGACCGAGCCGTCCAGGAAGGAGGTCACCTGGTTGATCTGCTCGCGGGGTCCTGTGAGCGCCGGCCAGCTGGGCTCGTCACGGGGGCTGGACGAACGGGCTCTGCGGCGGCGTGGCATGTTCTCCGCCGCCTCCAGCGCCCAGTTGGGCAACGCCGCGCCGTTAAGACACCGTCGCCAGCTCTGAGCAACGCTTCCGCCCATCGACCGCTGATAAACGACAAGTCGGAGAGAGGTGGGGTGCAGGAGAGGCGGGAGACACTGGCGTGGGAGAGAGCACGGGAGGGACTGGGGCAGCGGCAGGAGGAAAAAAACAAACATGTGAAGAATCAAAGAGAAGAATAACAGTGGGACAGAATACGCCGCTAAAAAGAGAGAGGAATGACAGAAGGAATATTTGCTGGAAAAGAGAGCGAGGGAGGGAGGGAGGAAGGGACTGGGGGGAGGGAGGAAGGGAGGGAGGGAGGGAGGGAGAGAGAGAGGAGAGATGGAAGAGAGAGAGAGAGAGAGAGAGAGAGAGAGAGAGAGAGAGAGAGAGAGAGGAGAGAGAGAGAGAGAGAGAGAGAGAGAGAGAGAGAGAGAGAGAGAGAGAGAGAGAGAGAGAGAGAGAGAGAGAGAGAGAGAGAGAGAGAGAGAGAGAGAGAGAGAGAGAGAGAGAGAGAGAGAGAGAGAGAGAGAGAGAGAGACACGTGGAGAAACCGTGGCCGTGGGATACGGACGCCGCTGAGAACGGCACATGGCACTCGATCGGGTGTCTGCGTTCGTGATTGCGGTAAGCCAATCATTGCTCAAGTGGAACGAAGCGGACGTGATCGCGATTGCTGAAATAATCGGATGTTACTATCCCAATTGGTCCTTTCATAAAAGTGCACAACAGCGGATTTCACGGCCCTTTTCTTGCTATCTTATTCCCTTGCAGCTCAACAGCATTCATCAGCCACCACGTGAATATGATAAAGAAGGGAAAGCTAGCTTTTACTTTGAAACTACGATTATTCGTTCAGATCAACTAGCAATCTATTTAATTCAGTAAGATAGCCATTTAGTGCCCTCTGGCTCTCACACCCTTTCATTTCGAATACCAGCACGAGCGCGTCCACTTTCCCCTGTTCGGCATCAGGCCGCCTGACACAGCTGTCCCCTGGACCCTGTCTGATCCTGTGGCCGACGCGGCAGCCCAGTTGGCAGGCGGTGTGTGACGCGCGGCGTCCGCACGTCCCGAGCGCGCCACGTACCGAGCGTGCAGCCGGTGCGCGGCGCCACGCCCGAGCGCACGTACTCCTGGCAGCGCTGCTTCAGCCGGCCGTAGAACGGGTCGCTCTCCGAGATCAGGATGGGGTAGCACTCGGGGTGGAAGTTGGCCAGCTCGACGTCGCAGCACTTGAGCCGCTGCCCGATGAAGCCTGGCGGCGCCGGCGGCGGCGGTTAGGGGCGGCCGGTCGCGACCCGCGGTCGCCCGTCACTGGGTCAGTGTCAAGGTCGCGTGCTCGGACGGGCGCCTGACGGACCGGCGGCCGGCCTGCGCCGCACCCGCAGAGCAGTGGTTAAGGCGAGGTCAGGGCGCCCGGGGCCGGCTGCCGTCGTGCTGCGGCCGGGCCCGGTCGATTGGCGAGCGGCAACGCGGCTGTCAAGTGGGCCACTCTCGCCTGGGCCGCGTGCTCTACTGACCAGCTTCCCGGATCGTTTATCTCTCCCACTGTCTCCCCAGAGCGTTTAGCGCGACGGCGTTCATTGGCGGAGGCCCGCCCAGCCAGCACGGGAGGGCGCTCACGACTGGCAATAATAGATGACGGGGCGAGTTGCGGGCTGTAATCGAACGACGATAAATGGCGTCTGGCTTCAAGCCGACGAGCACCGCCGGGTGACGTCACCAAACCAGAACTGGAGCTATCGAATGTCATGTGGTGTGGCACCGGTTGCGCAAACCTAACTCCATGATCGACAACTGTGGCTTTTCCCACGCCAGAGGATTAGTGTGATGAAAGCAACACTTCGCAAACTCGAGCGCACTCGGCGTGGAAACCAAAGCGACGTCTTCCATCACAGCCGTCGTAAACCTGTCAGCGCGTTCGCGGCGTATCCAGGCATGTCAGAATATGTCAACCAGGCAACTGCGACCGGCTGCTGTCGAGTGGAAAAGTGACGGAACCGAGTCGACCACAGTAATCGCGCATAGCATGCCACCGGAAAGTTGCTCAAACGCTCGTATCTCGCACAGTGTCAACGCGCTGTAAAACATGCGTGCCAGCGAAACCCGCGGTTTTCGGTTGCAGAAAATGCCGCGCCGGTTATCACGCCACCGCGCCGCGAAGCCGCCTTCACTGGAACGGTCGGCGACACGCAGAGCCGGGCGGCGCGTGAGACCGCGCGACCTGTGGGGGAGAAGGGCGGGGGCGGGGCGGGGAACCGACCTGCCATCTGCGGCGTGTGCGAGAGGTCGTGGTAGACGAACTCTCCGAACACGGCCGCCATCACGTTCATGTGCCGGTGGGTGGTCTTGCCGTCCTGGTGCACGGCCAGTGTGACGGAGCGCGCCGACGGCAGGAACTGCCCGCTGCGGGCCTGGCGCGGCACCGAGATACCTGCGGGGAGCGCCGAGGGCTTACTGCCGGGCACTGGGCCGTCCGGTACACGCGGCGGACAGAGCTCAGCGGCACGGTACATGTTGTCGAGGCGAACAAACGTCAGGGAGCATCACTAATAACTGGAGCACAGAGCTACGGGACGGTAACACATGTACATGTCAGCCAGGGCTGGTTGTGTACTTAAACTGCGTGGCCATCGCCACAAACAATTCGGTTATCTGCATGATCAGATACCGGAGACACGTTGCGAAGCCTAGAGGAGAGTTAGCTACCGGCACGCCGCGCGATGACGTTCATGGTCGCCAGGTAGAGAGGTATGGCTTGTCGGCAAGAAGAGATATGGCGTGTCGGTGAGAAGAGATATGGCGTGTCGGTGAGAAGAGATATGGCGTGTCGGTGAGAAGAGATATGGTACTATCAATTTGGATGAGTAAAGAACGGTCACAAAGCGGCCATTCACGGCCAGATTAGAAGTAACCCATCCATCATTCAGGTCTCTGTGTGAGCTCGAAAGTTCCACTGTTGGAGGACGATGCCAAATGTCAGAGCGGTTGGAAATCAAATGACTTCAGTGACCTTCCAGAGCGTGCCAGGGAATCTAAGTGCAATCAAAGAGTCTAGAAATTAACTCCGTGGCCAAGTGCTGCGTCTCTGGTCATGGTAGACGGTCACTGACACGCAGTTTACACTATTCAACGAGGACAAGCATGCTCTCAGCTGTGCCTTGCTAGCAGTGACCTCCTGGTGGGTGGTCACGCACGCATCTGTTTCCACGGCGCCAGCTGCCCAGCCGTCGTCCAGGGCGGCGTTGACAGCGAGGCACCCAGCCGCCCGCGCACACGATCGCCTGATAAGTCAATCAGCTGTCTCAGGGTCCCCCACAGCTGTCTCAGCTGTCTCAGGGTCCCCCACAGCGACCAGCAACGCGCCTCAAGAAGCCGCCCCGGTAGCCCTCACGGCCGCCCACCAGGACCTGTGACGTCATCTGGGGCGCCGGGATCATGCGGTGTATGTGGACATGGGTGCGGTGCAGGTGCGACCTGCCGCCGCCGCCTGCGGCCGCGCCGACCGGTCCTCGGCCAGATGGAAACCGGCTCTGTGGCGCCCACCCGCCGCTGGGCGGCCGGCTAATGAGTGCAGGGTCAAGATCAAGGCAGCGCAGAACTGGATCAGTTGCGGGGTCCGAACGCCGTCACGCCGTCATCTCATGGCAGTCGGAAGCTCTAACTAGACCAGCTATCATCCCATTATGCGTTGCGCCACATGTAATTAGACATGGCGGCGCGGAGCCAGCCATGCATGAGTTTGCATGCTGTGATGGCCCTGTCTTGATGAGGTGAGCCCCACACAACCGTCATTCGCCTTGGAATTGCGACGCGACGCCTCGATCACAGCTGTGTTGGTATGCGTGTCGCGCTGTTTCACAACGGACTTATCGTTTTGTGTTGTGTACCTTACGTTAAAAATCGTTTGCATTACCATTTTGAGTTCATTAGGTTAACGAGAAGCATTTTATGTTATCGCCGCTTGACCCAAATAGGAGCCCTCGGGAAGACCCCCACCGCAGCTCAGACATGTCTGCATAGCTCCGCGCTCGGTAGGGCCGCCGAGGCGCACACGCGCGTGTCGCAACGGCCGAGGACGGCGAGCCGCCTCTCGGATGGAGATCTCTTCCAGTGAAACCGAGATCCATGGCGCGCGCTCGCTCACCCTCGGGAACGGACGGACCGCGAGCGGAACCCGAGGCCCTCCTGGCGAGACAAAGGCCCCGGATGTCTGTTCAGCTCCCGGTGGCCTCAGCTCGGCCCGCCAGACGAGCTGCGCCGGCGGCCCTCTCCAGCACCACCCTCACACCGGCGGCGGCGGGCGCCCGGCACTTAGCCCGCCGGAATCGGCCATCAGCGAAACCACTCCTCACGCCGCGGCGGAGGCGCGGGCGCCGCTGGCGGCGACGGTCGGCCTTCGGCGGCGCGGCGCCGGCCGCATTGGGAGCGCTCGTGAGCCGGCGACGGAGCGTCGTGAACACGGACCACGGGCCGTGACGCCCCGGGGGAGGCGGTCACGACCCGTGGCACCCGGCCCGGTGGCGGCGCCGGCGCCCCAGGCCGGCCAGCTGCCGACCAGGCCAGCTAAGGTTCAGCTGAGAGCGACACACAGACAGCGAAGCAGTCCCTCCCTGCCGCCGGGGAGAGAGGCCTACCCGGCTCGGACCGGGACATCACTGGGCGTCGCAGCCTCTGGAGCAGCCCGCGTAAGGTCATCAGTAGTCCTGCGGTGACCATCGGACCAGCCGACGGCACAAAAACCAGATCGGGTATCCATGACCTCCTGACCGGCGTCGTCCCGCCATGGCTCCCCGGTCGGCGCGCATACAGAGCAGCTGCGCACCACACGATCGGGCCACCCACCGTCTGATCCATAGGCGGCCGGCAGGAAGCGCAGGTAGCGGGTGTTGGAGTTGCCCCACTTGGGGTTCTGCACGTTGTTGCAGTAGCCGTTGAAGGCGCGATACTTGCGCGGCTGGCAGGGGAAGTCGACCTCGACCGGGCACGAGTCGCCCAGCACGGTGCCTCGCACGTCGGCCGTCGGTAGGCCATACGTGATCTGGTCCTTGCTCAGCTGGTGCCTGGGAACGGTGCCGGCCGACGTCAGCGCTCGGCAGGGGCCGGCACTCCGGGCTGGCCGCGCCGGCGAACCGAACAGCCGAACATGGGTAAGCGTCGTGGGAGGAGGTGGTTCGTGGCTGGACAGCGGCTCTCGGCGCATCCTGGGAGGGTAGCTGGTGCGGTGACCTGTCACTGCAGTGCATTGTTTGGATGGTTTTAATGGGATGACGCGTCGGTGGATGGATGTGTATGTCGGGAAGGTGACTGAGGGTGGACTTCAAGCTGGTGCTTCTGAGGTAGGACGCATACGCAAGGAATACTCTTGCATGATGAAGTGAAAGTTCTTATGTTGAGTTAACTGGCTTTCAATATACCAGCAGGTACTAGTTAAACGACGTTGTAATGCTAAAGGAAGATTACATCAATGGTACTCGACTTTTCGAGCCGTGCCCATTCTCAACAGCGACTCTTGAGGTGACTGTGACTGAGGCGACTAAAGAGCGACTCTTGAGTGACTCTTGACTCTGTCGGATGAGCACAGCTCGGATGATCGAGCACTGTCAACATCATCTTTAGATAGTACTACAACGTTCATCATACAGTAGTAATAGCCCCATTCCTCGGAGAAAAAACACAGAAGAGCGGAGATATAGATGCATTGATATTGCGGCAGCATGCTTTTATCGAAACGAACAGCAAAAGTGAATTCACTTCTATTACTACCGTCTTATGTACGTGCATAATAATCCTCCCGAATGCACTTAACATCTTAAGCACTACAACGTTGTTTGACTGGTAGCCCCTGACATATCGAAGATCGTTAACTCAGCGCAAAAACTTTTAACTCATGTTGCCGACATACCAGGAGCTGAAAGCCTTGAGTTCCTAAATCAAGTAAAGTCACTCAGAAACGCAACGAAGATTCCAAGGACTTCGAGCGGTGCACCACTCCCGACCTTTTCAAGAACATGCGCTTAAACAAATGCGAGTAAGGATGTAGACGGTCACTTTTATTAGCTGCGAGGTTGTCCATGTTGGTTCAAATTTAACTGAGGTGAAAAAGCACGCATGATGGCGACTGATGTACCACATGCTGCTTGATTTAAGAAGCACAAAAGAACAAACGTTTCCCTCGTCAGGAGACCATTCCCGCTAACAAAAAGGGGCCTTCGTTATCAGCCACACGATCTGACGAGCGGTGTATCCTGGGCCGATGCTGCAATCACGGAGCACGCGTTCATAACCGAGCATTGAACAAGGAATTCGCGTGACAGAAGATTAAGTAGGAAACCTGCAAGTCATGGTAAAGGCCCTTACAAACCCATGTAAGCTCGCCGGCGTTCGTAAAAGGTCATTTAAATGCAATCACTGCCTTTGCATTGAATCGCAACACAGTTCCGTTGAGTGACGGGCAAAAAGTCAGAAGGCCGTGTCACCGTCTGGGTGCGCTTCGGCAAGGCTACGTCTCATTACCAACGCATTGTCACAGCCGGAACGAGTAAGACTGAACGCGCACGATACCGGCCATCGGCTTTCAATCGCCCTGGCTCCTGAGAGCTCACAATCAAAAGCATTACTAAGACCACCTTTTTTACATGTTATCTTCGGCATCAATGGGGATTAAGTTGCCAGTGAACCTTCTCTGCATGTTCTGTGCGGTACACAGCATGCATTGTGATCGATGGTATGGCTTTTTGCCACATCTGTGTTTCGCATAGATGCACGTCTTACGTACCGATTTTACTAAACAAAGACGGCACCGTTAGAGCTTGCTTTTAGGTAACGCATCGTTGGTTTCCGTCGCATGCATTCTCTAATAAGGCTTAGCATTAACATCTGCGCAAACAAGTGGCCCGGGCTCCGATGATGTGCATCTAAACAAATCGAGATATTATTTTTTTCGCTCATTGATAGGCTTGAAGAACGCTGGGCTTTGCTCCCGACATGCGCGATTGAGACATCACATTGTCACTGTGAATTCCACACAGATAACAACGGCTTGAAAGCATTGTGAAGATCAAATGATGGTAGCGTTGCGTCGGATGGAAAAGGCTCCAGTGTCGCAAACATCTTCGTACGGCGATACATGGAGATCTTCCATGATTGAGACTCTCCACATACGAGCACTGTGGTATTCAGAGACTCCTAGATCTCACCACTGTCCCATACGTTACTGAGCGTCCTCATGCTCCTCACCGCCCCAGCCCCGCTGAATGTCCTCCCGCAACCCATGTTCCGGTGTCTGTTGGCCTCTCACCAGTGGTCGCATTACGAAAACAGCCGGCGTCGCGCCGCCAGCCGGGCGAGCGTATTTACGGCTGCGGCCCGACCTGTCGGTGTCGAGGTCGGGCCGGCCGGCAGCGCGCTGGCCAGACGGCCGGCCGGCCCGCCCGGCGCCCTGTCCCAGTTCTGCCATCAGCGCGCGCCGCCGCGCTCAAGGTGCACGGGCCAGCGGCGCCGCCGGCAGATGAGAGCTCGCTCACCGGGTCAGCGGCGCCGCCGGCGGATGAGAGCTCACCCACCGGGCCAGCGGCGCCGCCGACAGATGAGAGCCCGCTCACCGGGTCACCGTCGCCGCCGGCAGATGAGATCCCAATCACCGGGTCAGCCAGTGTGTGTGATGAGAGCCCGCTTGCCGGGCCGGATTGGCCAGAGGAGATAAAACTGAGCCACACTGACAAGCGAGATGGAAATATACCTGACTACCTAGGGGTGGCAAGCAGTGTTAAACCGAATTTGAAAGCTTGCACGGAAGCGTGCGTAACTTGTGAAAACGCGCCGGGCACTGGTGGCGTGAGTTAAGAGACACACTATACCTCTTTTCTGTGGCGTGCTTTTAACCAAACAAAAAGCTTGTGATCAAGACTGACCCAGCGTCATCAACGGTGGATTACCAGGGGGGTGTCGCTGAGTTTTTTTGCCAAGGCTAGTGGCGCATTCCACCTCAAGGGTAGCCGAAATTGACCACCCTCTCACCAGTCACTCTGACGCTGGTGCTTGAACAATGCCAGCACCATCTGGCGCCAGATCGCATTTTGCGAAACATATTGGCAAAATGCGGGGAACGGCTAACGATGACGTCACTCGAGTAATTCACCCGAGGCGAAGAGTCCAGACGAGCTTTGTCCCATTAACCTCTCATCTCTATTGTGGGCAGAGTTCGCCCCGTTGTTAATGACAGAGGTCCTGCGTCGCCATAGCTATTTCTTAACAGCCAAGCCTATTGATACCGTGATTGGGCCGGGGCAGAACGGTTTTGCGGGCGCCACCGGCCGGGACTCGGGTGTCGGTAGGAAAGGGCACCCGGGCGCCACCAGCCAGGACTTGGGTGTCGGTAAGAGACGGCACCCGGGCGCCACCGGCCGGGACGTCGGATGTCAGTAGGAGAGGGCACCCGGGCGCCACCGGCCGGGACGTCGGGTGTCGGTAGGAGACGGCACCCGGGCGCCACCGGCCGGGACGTCGGGTGTCGGTAGGAAAGGGCACTCGGACGCCACCGGCCGGGACGTCGGGTGTCGGTAGGAGACGGCACCCAGGCGCCACCGGCCGGGACGTCGGGTGTCAGTAGGAGAGGGCACTCGGGCGCCACCGGCCGGGACTCGGGTGTCGGTAGGAGACGGCACCCAGGCGCCACCGGCCGGGACGTCGGGTGTCGGTAGGAGAGGGCACCCGGGCGCCACCGGCCGGGACGTCGGGTGCCGGTAGGAGACGGCACCCGGGCGCCACCAGCCGGGCGGCCCGCGACAGTCGGCACCTGGACGGCGCTGGTCACGGCCGCGACAGCCGCGCCCGCCAAGGCCGGCAAATCGAAGATTGCTTTCTGCAAGCTTGAGGCGTCGCCGCGCAGCTGAGGCCGCGGGTGTGAGTGGGCGTGTTGCGCCACGCCCCGCTTGCGTCAGAGGAGGACCGCTGGGAGGGGGATGGGGGGGGGAGCTAGCGCCGAAGATGCCGGCGGCAGCGCCGGCACGCCCGGCCGGGCCAGGTCATATCGGAGGTGTAAAGTGTCCTCCTCTGAATAGGGACACTAGCGCCGACAGCAGGTCATGGCCGGCAATTTAATGAATGGTGCTACGCATGAAGGCAAGGAAAAATGTGTCACTGCATTTTCACTCCATGAACTGCTAATATCTTCGGCGAATGTGGGCGACAGAGCCATAACATAAGACGCGACAGTAATTTGTGTTATTTCGCTATGTGAAAGATGTAGAGCACGCAGAATAAGCTGACTGTAATTTCACACGTATCTAAGTGTCCATAGCTTGCCTCATCACTCGCCACGGAAAATATTTACCGACGGCAAATATTTATATATAATAAGCCTCGCATTTCAAGCCCCCAAATAACAGTCGGTTATTGACCAATCATCCTGTCACAACCAAAGAAGAAAAGTCACCGCGCAATTAGAGTAAACCACATAATGGCTAGGCTGACCCCGCGAAAGGGTCCATTTGGCACTCCCTCGGGCCAGCCGTCCTGAGTGCTAGACGGCGCTGACAGCTGATTGGCTAGCAGCCGATCGGGGCCTGCTGACGCAAGCTGCGCAGCCGGTGAGAGATTCTGCGCCGGCCTCTGACCCGCACGGTCGCCGTCGGTGTGAAAATCACCGGTAGCTGGAAACTCAGAGACCATTTCGCCACCACCATGCAGTTTGTCTGGGATTGCTGATCGACTGCTTAAGCTCTAGGTGCTTCTTTTACAGCATTGCACTCGAAGTCGGGCGATAACATTTGAGCCAGCAGCTGAGCTCAGAGCTCTGACAATCAGCGCAGCGGGTGCACGCCCATACCTGCCGGAGTTGTTCACTCCAGGGTCCAAATTTATGCGTGTAATATTTTCACAAGCTGTCATCTGCGTCATCGGCAAGCGTTGTGAGGAGCATCAAATATCCGTCATAACATTAAACGCGATCGATCGCAAAATCCTTGACTAGCTGCTTTCTTCTTTACAGGATTGGCAAGGACTACACCGACAAATGAAACACTAGTTCTTGTGGCCATTTGGACAGCGATCCGTTAGATGACTGCGCACACCTGAACTACCTCCGATGTACCATGCGCACTCCATGTAGATCCAACCAAACACCCATGTAAGCACGTCATACATATAACGAAACATTAAACGTCAGGCGCATCAACATGGCATGAGCACTTACTTCTCTGCGATGTGTTTCGTTGCCTCCTCTGCAATGTAGGCGATTCGCGAGATGTTCTTGGCGACCACCTTGATCTTATGAGACGCCGCCATGAACCAAGCTGGTGTGCCTGGCACCAGCCGTGATCCTGAAATATCGAGGACAGCAGCTCGGATAATAAAGCGAATGTGTGTCTGGCGGGCACTATCCCCTCTATCGGCGTGTCTCGTTCGTGGCCGTCACCAATACGTGATGGTGCGCAGCCATCTTCCCGAAGATATAAGCTCAGTACTAAGGCCGTCACTAATACATGATGTGCGCAGCCGCCTCCCGAAGATATAAGCTCAGTACTAAGGCCGTCACCAATACATGATGTGCGCAGCCGCCTCCCGAAGATATAAGCTCAGCACTAAGGCCGTCACCAATACACGATGGTGCGCAGCCATCCTCCCGAAGATATAAGCTCAGCACTAAGGCCGTCACCAATACACGATGGTGCGCAGCCATCCTCCCGAAGATATAAGCTCAGCACTAAGGCCGTCACCAATACACGATGGTGCGCAGCCATCCTCCCGAAGATATAAGCTCAGTACTAAGGCCGTCACCAATACATGATGTGCGCAGCCGCCTCCCGAAGATATAAGCTCAGCACTAAGGCCGTCACCAATACACGATGGTGCGCAGCCGCCTCCCGAAGATATAAGCTCAGTACTAAGGCCGTCACCAATACACGATGGTGCGCAGCCATCCTCCCGAAGATATAAGCTCAGTACTAAGGCCGTCACCAATACATGATGTGCGCAGCCATCCTCCCGAAGATATAAGATCAGTACTAAGGCCGTCACCAATACACGATGGTGCGCAGCCATCCTCCCGAAGATATAAGCTCAGTACTAAGGCCGTCGCTAATACATGATGTGCGCAGCCGCCTCCCGAAGATATAAGCTCAGTACTAAGGCCGTCACCAATACATGATGTGCGCAGCCATCCTCCCGAAGATATAAGCTCAGTACTAAGGCCGTCACCAATACATGATGTGCGCAGCCGCCTCCCGAAGATATAAGCTCAGTACTAAGGCCGTCACCAATACACGATGGTGCGCAGCCGCCTCCCGAAGATATAAGCTCAGTACTAAGGCCGTCACCAATACATGATGTGCGCAGCCGCCTCCCGAAGATATAAGCTCAGTACTAAGGCCGTCACCAATACACGATGGTGCGCAGCCGCCTCCCGAAGATATAAGCTCAGTACTAAGGCCGTCACCAATACATGATGTGCGCAGCCGCCTCCCGAAGACATAAGCACAGTGGCAAGCGAGTGAAAGGCGGCTGCGGTCGAAGAGGCCCCCGATGTTCGCAGGGTGAGCCAAGTGAAACTAATGAATCACGACTCGATGAAGCAGCACGACGAGGATCACGACATTCACACAGATGTGATCAAACAGCCACACTGGGAGGACGGAGACCGTGAGATCAACACACAATCACAGGCAAAGCGTCGTCACTATCCCACCATGGGAAGTTCGCTGCCAGCGGGTGGCGCAGTCATCTCCTTTAAAAACGTCGCCGTTAGCCGTACTTAGAATCAACTAGTGCTTCAAGTGCATGCTTCGGAATGTTTTATGAGTGTTTGGATAGGTACTGAATTTGCTTCATTCCAAGCTTCGTACATTGCACTGAGATTAGACGATAATGTTGCATAAAGAGGTCAACAAGGTTCCTTTTGCGGCCGCCGGTGCCGCACACAGTGATTTAGCATGTCACCGCTCACAGTCCAACTACAAGGTAGCAGAGCGTACCGTGTGCTTACAGAGCGCAGGAGACCGCCTCTTTTCAGGCGTCCGTTCACCGTGTATAATTTCAGATTGGCAGCTACCTGGCGTATGGAATAAGCATCACGAAGCGGCGATAATCCTGAGAGAGAGAAACGACCGTCCAACTACGGGGCAGCAAAGCGTGTCGTGTCCTTACAGAACGCTGAGATCACCTCTTTTCAGTCATCCGTTCACCGTGTATAATTTCTGACTCGCTGCTACCTGGCACGGGAAATCAGCAATGCGAAGTGGCGGTAATCCTGAGGGGGAAATGGCTGTGGCCCGTCTCTGCAGAGCGGCTCGTCAGCTGACTTGAGGTGAAGCCAAGCCCACAGCTCGCCCTGTGCCACGGGATCAGAGCCACGCCACTAATCGACTGTATCCAAGGCCACAGATCACCGTGGCCAGGTCGGCACTCATCTAGATCGTTTGTTGTGCAACGGCCGCTGTAAATAACTGCATCACCCATACCGCAGTGGGCGCCCATTGAGCGGCCGCCCCGCTGCCTGGGCTCTGCCTCGGCGTCCGGCTGAGTGCGGGAGACGACGGCGGGCGAGGAGCGCCGGTGCGCCGCGGTCCGGACCGGCCGATCCGGGCGACCTTGCCGGCAGGAGCGGGGGATGAGCCGCCGTCTCCGGCCGGGCCCGGCCCGGGCCGCTAGTGAGCCGCCGCCGCCGCCGCCGCCGCCGCCGCCGCCGCCGCCACCACCGCCGCCGCCACCGCTCAGCCGGCGCGGCCGGAGGGCGGGTGGCCGCCGACGACACGCGCCCCGCCGCCGAGGCGGCTCGCACGCGCCGTCGGACGGCTCGACAACAGCCGGAGACGACTGGCCGGCCGGTGAAAGTGACGGGGCGCCGCCGACACCGCAGCGGTGAGTGTCGTGCCGGCCCGGCTCCGCTCGGTCATCGGCCATCTTGGCTCGTGGTCGAAAACACGCCGCGAAAGCATGCTGCTATCCGCGGGGGTGGGGTAGCCGATCCTTGTACAAATATTCTGCGGATGGGTCGATATCGATTCGAAAAGAACGTATCATTTGGTAAGTAGGTCTCTTTAAACTCCCAGCTGGCCAAGCCTTCACCTGGGATCTTGTAATTCCTTTATGGGGGCGAGAGAGATGATGACCTCAGGCAAGGCGGAACAATGGGTGGAAGAGATCTCCGACACAGGATGGGTCAATCATAATTATCAAAGAACTAAAAGTTACGTGATGTTGCAACAGTTGTCAAAGAGACAATTTCCGTGGCTGTTTTCGTGTCGATAACCGCACAGCGACGACCTTAAAACCTGAATAATCTTCTCGTGCTCAATATCTGCTCTTGATTTCAATATCTATGCCGCCGATGCGTTGCACGTTTGCAAGATGCGCGTTTTCGCAGCCCCAGCAAAACGTCCGTAAATGTGCCAATCCACCAACCCTGTGCATTCCCCGCAGCCTCTCGGCCGCATGGAGCAGGCCGGCCTACCAAGGTTGCTGCCGCCGACTGCGCGCGAGTGTAACGGGGACGCTCCGGCCCGCTGAGGCGAGGACGTCTCGTGCCGCCGCGTGCCAGCGCGGTCCGGCCCCGGCCGCCCGGGCCGCCGCCGCCAGCGCCGCGGGCCCTCTCAGCCGACGGAACCGCGCGGCGCCGGGCCGCCAGACGGCCGACGGTCAGCGCCGCCGGCGGCGACCGGGCCCGGTGCCTGTCGGCCCGCCAGGCACGCGGCCTACCATCGATTCTCCAACAGCCATGGGCTCGGCTCGGTTTTCACACGGAGGTTTGGACAATGGGGGAAATTTGTCCGAACTGCGTTTGTGTCTAGGAACGATTGTTTGGGTGCGGACATTAACTAGACTTCGGAACAGGTGAGCGGTATGAGCTCACTTTCTTTTTGTCTAGAGAACTTGATCACTTTCGCTCCGGTTATGTGCTCATCTAAAGACAAACATAAGCCAGCCCAGTACCTTACTTTCATGACTTTACTTGTGCCCCGGCTCCCGAGGCGGGACTTGGTTTCCGATCTGAGCGGTCAGCGAGTCAGAGTTCTGAGTCCACCCTGCTTCGGATTCAGGGATCTCGGTCCAGTTTTGCAGTTGCACATTACAACATAACATTGCTTCCAGTGACATCCGCGTTATCTGTGCCGAGATATACATGTAGCCATATGCGGGGCTTGTATGCCAGTAACAAAGCCCATATACTAAATGCTTTACTGACTGTACACGACACGCGGGGTTGTTACGCAGGAATCGATTCCGTCAAAGAATCACGTCAAATTTGATTGATCCAAGGCCGAGTACGGGTACACAACAAACGAAGCGCAAACCACCTGGCCGGCTCAAAAGTAATTATGCGGGATTGATGCGGAACGGAATCAATCCAGCTTGTTATTGCCGGCATGGCGTTTGCTCAACAGACTTGAATAGTTGGGATGCTACCTGATAAAAACGGTTTGGCTTACGCATGTCATTGGTGGCGAACGGAGCATATGTACTCATCACTCTTGCACACGGCTGACACAGCGCAGGCTGATCTACCCATCACGGTCGCGGGCAGCGTGCACAGATTGCTTCGTCCACCACTTGTATGCGACATATATAAATAGCTTCATTCACCAACCCTGCAGACAGCACGCACTTTCAGCTTTCTTTAGCACCCACCACATTCTTAGATACAGACATAGGCAGCTCTGCCCACCACTGTCGCAAACTTCAGGCGCAGACAGGCCCACTCACCACATTGGGACAGGCGGTGCACTCAGACAGCTCCACCAGAGGACCGCTTCAGACAAGACGCGCACGCACGCACGCACGCACGCACGCACGCACGCACGCACGCACGCACGCACGCACGCACGCACGCACGCACGCACGCACGCACGCACGCACGCACGCACGCACGCACGCACGCACGCACGCACGCGCACACACACACACACACACACACACACACACACACACATACACACACACACACATACACACACACACACACAGACACACACACACACACACACACACACGCACACACAACATCTCCTGCCACACCTTCCGCATGCTGAGGACTCTGTTTATACTGCCTGCTGTAAAAAACAGTGAGCAGCATACACGGTTTGCGAACGGTATAAGTAGCGCAGCTTGGCCCGCTCCGTCAGCAGGCAGCAGAAGTAGACAGCCTCACTCGCGCTGCTGTGCGCCGGCCTGTCAGGCCAACTCAGCCCAGCCCGTCTCTAAGAGCGGGAGCGACGGGTCGCCTCCACTCACCGCTGTTGTAGATGGCCGGCTCGACGACGTCGAAGCGCTGGTCGACGGCCGCCACGGCGTCAGCTACGTCACGCGACAGCTCCCGGAACGAGATGTGGGGCATGGTGAAGCGGGGCCCGGCCGGGATAGGGTCGATCTCGACCGGCAGGCGCAGCGGCCCCGTCCGCACCGCTTGGCGCTTGTGCAGCCGCACCGACTTGCCTGCGAGCGGCGGGGTCACACGGGTCAGGTCGGCGACGGATGGTCGTGGGTGGAGTGGGTCCGTTGCACTGCCGCGCGGGCGTCGTTCTGCTACATCCGCTGACGGGCTGAGAGACGATCGCAGGCGGAATTGGAGCCGCCGCGCGTTCGGCGCCATTCACATTCAAAGTGGATATGACTGACTGCAAAGCTGGGCGGGGGTTCGGGGTCACACAGTCCCCTCCCCCTAAACGTTTGGGACACAATACCGCTGCAAGTGCCGCCTTCGATCGCCGGATGTTTCAAGCATTGGGATGTACGTCTTGGTAGTCGTTACTGTTGCTCGTTCGTAATATGTACCGTTAGCGGCTCGCTGACACGCAAAGCTCGCTGTTTGTGGCGGCTCCATCTGCGCGCCGACTGGCAGCGACGCCGCGGAATGCTGACCGCAACGACACGGACCGATTCCGCGCAAAAAAACAGACGCCGCCGAGCTTGACGTGAGCGTACCTGACTCAATCACGACCCGGCCCACTTCTCCTCTGTCCACCTAGGTCAACTGCGGCGCTGCTGGCCGCCAGCAGCAGAGGCAGACACAGACACCAGCACCTGCAACAGGAGACGGGTCTGCTGTGAGGCCCGGTCGACGGTATGCAGTCAGGGCGGCGGCGGGGGGTGCTGCCGCCTGCGGGTCGGACTGCGGGCTCGGACGTCCGGTCCACACTCCCCCGGAGCGGATCGGCGGGCGGCTCGGCACTCCCGGCGGAGACCTGGTGCGGCGCCGGCAGCCGCCGGGCCAGCCAGCCGCGCCGCGGCCGCTTGCATCACCTGTCAGCGATCCCGCACTTGGCTGGCAGGCGTGAAGGTCACACGATGCTGATCCGGCGGCCGGAGAGTCGAGATCGGAAGCTTTGTCATCCCCTCCAGGCATGATGGTGGAATGTCGGTGGAGCTGGTACGCATCCAGCCATGAAGGGCTTCTACCGCGTAAGTTTTTTATGCGGCGTTTCGAACTGCTCGGTGTACTGGGTGTAATATTGGGTGCTGTCCGACGGGTCAGACACTCACATAAATGATCCCATTATTTCGCAGCTAGGGCCTGACAACAACTTTATGAGCCGCACACAATGGCGCAATTATACCCATTAGATCCAGTTGGTGCCATTAAATATGATTGCTTCAAAGAGCGACCCTTAGTCTGAACTAGCCTGAAGTCATCTCTTTGTTTGATATATTTGAGGAAAGCGCAATTGCACATTCAATTTATGTTTTGTAGACTTAGCAGCGCATCGCTTCCAGCCGTCACATTTGCAGCATGACTTAAAGCTGCGTCGTTAATTAACGCAACATGGACAACCTGCCATGTTCATTTCGTTATCCCATTATGAAATTCCCCTTAAAGCGGTGTAAAGCCCGACGGACACGTTTTTATTCCAGCCGTTCGCATGGGTGGCTTGGGCTCCGAGCACTGCACCTCACGACACGGCCGCCCCGGGCCAGGCTGGACCTCCTTGGCCAGTTGCCAGCGAGCCTCTCTCTGTCAGCGGGCCCAAGCAATGCGCCCGTCCTCGGTCTCGTGTCCAGTGCCGCTGGACCACGAATCCAGCATCCTCTTGCTTGAACCTGAGGAGCTGGCGTCGGCTGTACTCTTGGCTGGACATCATCCTTCCGTGAATTATAAGGAACCGCCGCATCACAAAGCCGCTGCCGTAAAAGCGTGCCCTCGTCGTTCGTTAATTTAATGGGCCAGCGTCACGCGATGCCACGCGACTGTTTTGGCTTTAATTAACGTCTGTTTCACACGCCAATAACGAAATGGCCAGGGTAATGCGTGCGTGTGCGGCTGGATGCGGAGGACCGGAAAATGACTCACTTATTCTACGCCAAAACCGTTCCGGCCTGAGCTCCTTCAAATAAGCATTGCACTAGCTAGAAGGCAAACTCGGATTCATGTACCTGACAATTCAGTACGAAAAAGTGATTGCATACCGAAACTGTTTTACTTGTCGCCACAGAATCCCAGCACGCGAGTAAAGTTTGTTCATGCCATTACAAGAACGTACTCGCGTGAAATAGGTGAGTATACCTAATAACAACGGGCGTAAAGAGTTGAATCAAGCAAAATTCCAAACATGTGACATGTTTTACTTATCCGTACCCAAAACGAACGAAAAATTGCGGGGTGAAAGGAATACGCTATCGCTATATACGGTGACCTATTGACCCCAATTCAGGAACTAGGGTCCTACATGGGTAGCTTCTGTCATTTTGAGTGGTCTTCATCAGAAACAAGTATCATTTGATCTGAGTCGCTTAGTTCCTGCCCTGACTGCTTTCTAAGACTTGTGCTAGACGAATCGGCAGAGGAGACTCCACGTTTCTTGCCGTGTGCTGCGTGTACCTCATTGAACTAAAGCGCATTACCTTTTAATGGTGCATTGCAAGTCGTATGCACCCAAAAAAAGAACAAAAGAAAATTATCGTTTCAATGTTAAGATAAAGAGCTGGTATACCGTCACTTCTACATTGCTACAATGTGACATATGCATTTAAATTGAAGCGAACCAATCATTTGGAACCCACGACAGGCTGCCGCGAGTCGGTGATATCAGGTAATTCAGAAATATTTGCAGGTGTCCAGAACCAGCACATGTCAGGTTTTTACCATCGTCACATTGCATTACCGTCCGTTAGGGAACTGCGAGCGCCGAGTGGAGACTGCATCTCATCACAGGAGCATACCTGGGACCGTTCAACATCACAAAAGCATCGCGCAAGTTTCTCCCACCCTCCGGAGTTTTCTTTCGCACATTGTTGTGGGACGTGCGGGGCCAGCCAGAAATGCCAAGTGAGGATGGAACTACTGCCATCTTCAGAGACCAGGGTCCAATTTATGTAGTAAATTGTTCGGCTTACTACCCGAAGGAATAAGTACAATGCACCGCTCATGCTACCAAAGAAACAACGATGACCGTGACTATATGGTACAAGCGTTTCACTAAAATATAAAAAACATGCAGTTTACTGTTGCTTGCATTTCAGGTCTTACGTGTGGCACATGGCGATGGAGGGCCTTGCATGTAAACTATTAGCAGAAAACTAAAGTTATGGTCATACCTTTCTATAATATGCGGCAGCAATGCCCCTTGGGTTGCGTTAAATTAGCAAAGGTGGTCAGGAAAAGGGTTGCATACTCATTCAAGTAGAATGAATGTGTAGTCGTATGAAAAAACAGTCAGGCGCTTGTTCGCAATCATCTTTATCGAGAAATTGTTCGCTTTTGCTGTGACTGCCTTGGTTTCTGAACCACCTGGTTCTGTGCTGTGTTTCATGCATGTAAAGTGTGTCACGTCGCTGGGTATAACGAAGCATCAGTTTGTTTCTTAATGAATTGGTCCTTACAAGTTTGCATGAGTCTTTATAAATTTTAGTCCGAGACGCCCCAGTATTTTACACTTCTTACCCAGTCTTTTTTGTGGGTAACCACGATGAAACCTAGCGTTGAAGATGAGCCGACCACGCCGTCAGTAACGCGGCCGGCGCGCGCGGGACGGCCGACTCTGTCCCGGGCAGAGGTCAGACTGCGCCCGGCTCGACACCGCAGGGGATGGATACCGCCTCAGCCGGTTGCCATGCGAGGCGGCGGGGCGGGGCGGAGCGGGACAGAGGAGCACCGTCGGCTCTCTCCGCGGCAGATCTTCGCCGATGTAGGGCAGCGCCGTGGCCGTCACGGCCGGCTGGCGTGACGCGGACAGGGCCGGCGCCGGCCGGCCGGGCGCGTCTCGCACCTGCACCTTTTGTTCTCGCCCGTCGTCCGACGCCCACCACAGGGCGCGTGCGAGGCCTTGGCACCGCGCGCTCCCCGGCCCAGAGTGTAAACAGATTAGAGCCGGCCGTAAAAATGACCGGCGGGCGGCGCATGAGCTGACACGCTCCAAGCGGGCAGAAGACAAACAGCCTCCGCTATCTTGCCCGACACGATGTGTTCTGACGTAAGGTCTTTCATCAAAGCCGTCAGATGCAAGAGCGGGTCCCCAAGCTCAGCCAACCTCCAGCGACCACAGCCGCGACAGCCAGTGAGAGTTGCACAATTCATGTGATGCTGAGGTTGAAGTAACGCTTTATTGGCCACCAGCGCTCACCGGTGGCCAATAAAGCTCTTGCACGCTCAGTCCAGAAAACTGGCTGATGAAGCAAACATTTTGCTGTTCTCTTGCTGTAGAGCAAAATGAGTAACATTCACACAAGTGTGAATGTTGAGTGTGACAGGGCCTTAACATTTACACAAGTGTAAATGTTAAGGCCCCGAAGATGACGTGCCAGCGTATGTGAAGAGTCCTTATTTGTAAGCTGCGTTCTCGGACGAGATCAAGACGTCATCTGGAGGTATGACGTCTTCATAGTTTAAAAGCTACACGTCACAAATGACCTTGACAGAACAATGGTCCTTGATATAGCATTCCAATTGTCGGCCTCATCTGCTTAGCATTTCCCCGAATGATAAGTGTTTGTCTGAGGCGGCACTGAGGACGGCCATCTCTACGGAATCTTTTGGTTTTTATTGGTGCGCAGACAATTCGAAAGCCTTTTCCTAGTTAACAATGAGATACGGTTAGGCCTTGCATCCGTACTGCCCTCCGGTATGTAAGATCTCGTCCAAAATGTTTGCACGCAGATATTGTGAGCACACAAAGGATAGAGTGTCTTCCAGTGTAAACCGACAAAAGCGAACTAAGCCAAAAGAAGTACGATATATCCCATTGAAGCTAAATGGTCAGGGAGATACCACCCGAAACAGTACGGAGTGATTGCGTAACTCCCCTGTCCTGTTGAACGCTCAATGAGCACACGGCAAGCCCTAACCGAGTCCTGGCAAGGTGCGCGAGGCACATCCTTTGTGCCAAAACAGCGCAATGGCGACCAGAACTCACTGAGAGCGTCAATCACCTGGCAAAAGCCGCGATAGCTTATGGGGAGTTCCGCAGACATGAGCTGCTGTTGCGTGCCGACCTCATAACCACCTGGCCGCCGAAGCAGCCTTATCTCCGTCACGACCTAACGGCGTGGCCACCGCGCCACCGCCAGTCACGTTAGGCAACGGCGGCCAACC